TGTGCGGTGATCACGGCGTTAACAACACATGAACACCACACCATAATATGGTTTCATTTAAAGCATATACAAATGAGCCTCCTATTACTATTACCTACAAGTAAACCGTAAATCTAAAATAGCTCATAAAAAATTACAATTAATTCCCTCTTTTTGTCTAAATTACACTTATGAATTTTGAAGTACTTTTGTAGTAAACAAACATAAGAAACCAAAAAATGGCATAATGTTATAGATTTAAGTTAATATTGTACTATTTTATATAGTAAGTAGAATGCAATACAATGAAAGTTTTTGCTAAGTGATCTTCGTTGTACAAAAAACAAACAAGAACTTTAACAGACTTTAAAAAGTCTGTTAAAGTTCTTGTTTACTGTTAGAACTTTTTAAATTACTGTTTAATAAACAGTGATTTAAAAGATATGGCTGTGGACAATGAAATACTTTTACAATTCACACAAAAAGCATTTTGAGCGTAACTTGGCGGCGATCACCCAATTCCCATCCATTTAGTAAGTGTTTGATAAAAACTTTGTCTCTTGTATTCTGTTGACCCTAGAGGTCAACCCAGCGAGGCATGATCTAGATTATACCAAAAACATTACATCCGGTTTGATGTACAAAACTGCTAAAGTGACCTTCATCCTCGCCAAGAGATCTTAAAATCGTAATGGCCCCAAATATCTATCAATATTGTATTGCCTATATAGTAATAATGTTACTTCTCTGCTGCTAAGCAAACCACTGTTGTCTAAAATACGTAGGTATACTACGTTAAAGTTACTGTGTACGAAGAAAGCTTACATAAATATTACAAGGACGGGATCTTTCACACTCTTCTAATAGTTATAATGTAGCGCCTTGCGTTATTCGCGTCCGCGAACGAACACGTATGGAAGAAGTATCGTGTTACAATACAGTTAAGGACCAACTAGGTGCAATACTGTGTAGGTACACTTCCCTTCATTTTAGATAAGACTATTTTAAAATAGATCAATATGCATTGAATTGTAAGTGAAATACTTACATATAGGTAAAGTTATTAGAAATTTCGAATAACGGCTTATAATAATTATTATAAAGATGGGTAGGTATCCATATCTTTTAATTATGTATCATTTGTTTGTTTAAAATATTCCTTCTTTAAGTAACTAGTAAATAATGTAAAAACGTAAACGAACTTTGCAAACAAATATTATTTACAAATTAAGAAACGTACGACACGAATATTAATTGGTTATAAACAATTAAGTATAATTTTATATTCAATTCGTTCACCTTAAAATTTCCTACAAGACTTCTGAAGCGCAAAGTTATAGTCGCGTAATTTTTGTAGTGTGATGACTTATAAATGTAAAAATTACATCCACTTACTACTTGTATTAATATGATTCATATTTTTAAAAGTTATAACACATCTTCGGTAGTATAGTGGTCAGTATCCCCGCCTGTCACGCGGGAGACCGGGGTTCGATTCCCCGCCGGAGAGAACTTTTTGTATATTTCTTTTTTAAGTTTATTGTGTCTTTAATATTCCGCAACTTATCTTAATTTTTACCGCAACTTATCTTTTAGAAATTTATACCATTAATATATTTTTAAATCGATAGAAATGTTTACATAAGCTTTGACAATGAATCAAATGTTTCATTCAATTCAAATTTTAGTATAATGGCTCCATCAGGGAATAACTTGATGATTCTGCCAATGTCAAAGTTGAATAAAACAGTTAGTAAAAAAATGAGATATGCCCTTAATATTGGCCTTTGTAAGGCTATCGTAAATCAATCATAGAATTGGCCATATTATGATGTACCCGACCATTTTATAATGAAGTGACAAACATATACGCAAAAACAAACAAGCTCCATCGGGAATGAGCAAGTTCCATAGTATGGAGTTTGGAGCTTGCTCCGTTAGTTTCACCAATCAAAAACAGATGTCGCTGTTTTAAATGCAAAACATTTTTTAACTATGGTAACATTAAATTAAAAACAAGATTGTTTTTATAATAATTTTACAAAAAAATATATATTTTTCATCAAATATAATTTTACAAAATCGTATTTTATTAAACAAATATTATTAATTTGAAAGAAAACTATGACTTTTTAACTATTCTACTCCTTATTTGTAGTGTATTTTTTCTGACAATATTATAGACTGAAATTAACAGAACTTGCATATTTTTCAGAATCAGAAAGCGCTTCAAAAGAAGTTAAAAAATCCTTAAAAATAATCGTAAAAATATAAAGACCCTAAAAATCCTTTCGCGTTTGTGTACCCCCTTTTTGGGGAAACCCTCTAAGTGAGTTGGCAACCTTGATTTGATAGATACCCAGTGCGACAAATATGACGTTAATTATTATTATTACAACGTTTATATAAATAACGTTATTTATGCACCGCCCACAAATCCACCGGCTTCAGGTCATCCAAAATCGATTTTTGCGCAGAGCCACGGGAGCACCCTGGTACATGCGCAATATCGACCTTCATGTCGATTTAGAGTTGCCCACCATCGCTCAATTCCTGAAGTCGGCGTCGCGCCGATACTTCGATTCCGCCGCCGCGCATCCCAACCCGCTAATCGTAGGTGCCGCCACCTACAGACCCCTGCCGCTAGGTACGTTCCGCCGCAATCACCGTAGACCGCGACACGTTCTCGATTTCCCTGACGATGAGACGACTATCGCCATCGAAAGGATTAAAAAACTTCGCAAGCACACCACACAAGCCGCACTCGCCGGCGAGTGCGGCAAACATATACTAGGTTCCGCCACGTACCTGGCAGGTTCTCCCCAGTTCAAGATAGAAGCGTTGCTGGAGTTTCTTCCGCCACTTCTTCTCCCAGCGCCAACGCTTTACGAAGTGGTAGTAATGATAGCTCTAGAGATCCCCCCAGTCAGATAACAGCTACCGATCGAGCCGAGGTCCGGCCCTCTCGGGCACCCTCGAATCGGAATGCTAAACGCGTGCTGAGTGACAGCCCAAGCCGAGGGCCCCTCTCGGGGACCCTTGAGCCAGATCACTCCATGGAGCCCCCGCCAAAGCGCCCTAAGAGCTAGGCGGCCTCCCAAAACCGGTGAATTAAATAGCGTGACGGCCCGAGCCGAGGTTCCTTCGGGAGCCCTCGAGCTTAGTCACCATAACGCGTAATAATAAATACGCGAGGTTCAGGCTAGGCGCCTCGAGCGCCCGGCCACCTCAAGCCCGTCGGAACTGTAAAGGCCCCTAAGGCCAACAGTGGCTCATCCAGCCCAAAAAAAAAAAAAAAAAAAAAAAAACCACCCACAAATAATCTTACACTCCGAAGTTAACATGTAGTCCTAAGTATATAATGTATGATTTTGTCCATACTGCTTTCTTTTATTTCATATTATTTATTAATAAATGAGGTCTTATTAATAAATAAATAAATCTTGTATCTTGTATTAACTGATGTTTTTGCTTTCAGTACCGAGACTATTAAAGCTTCATCGAACGCAGAACCGGTGGGCTAGCCAGAACCCACGGGTTTGGACCCTCCGCTATGGGTAGGGTCGCGCATGTGCTCATGCGTGCGTTTAATTATGGTGTGTCATCTAAGTCGCGGTTCGGACCGAGACCCCGACGGCCGTCGACGGTGCATTTAGCTAATCGGTGGCTGGGAGCGGTGAAAACCGCCCCGGAACGCGGGGGATCAAAATAAATAAAGTACTGGTTGTTGAATTTCTTAGTTTCAGGTTTTGTGATTTTCAGACTTTAAGGAAGAGGACCATACTCTCGATATGTTTGATGGTTGTTTGAAGGTCGGCGGTCTACGACTGTCCGCAATTTTTTGCCACGCATAGCCACTTTGTGGATCCAGTTGTTACTAAAGTAGAAGGTATTTCTGGACTGATATGACTTAAGGATTTTAAAGAAGGGAGGGTACTTCCACTTCAAAAACGGGCAACGCAATTGTGACTCGATATTGCAATGCTGCTCGCTTGTTTGCCTACTTTTTTTATAAAACAAGGCTGGTGAAAGTTTTTACGAGAGTATTAGTTTTCAATGAGAGTTTCAAATATTAAAACCAGTCAGTTTACCATGTAACTTTTCTAACGTTATGTTCCACAAGTAGTTTCTCGATCTAGATAAATTATCGATTGAGAACCACACGAATAACAAGGTATAGAAAGAGGTTCCAAATTAGAGAAAAATAATTATGTCGCTTCTTGTGCAGTTACATAATTTTTCTACTATCTATGACGTGACACCACATGTATAAAGCCGCGTGCAATAACTCTCCAATGTATATATATATATATATATATATATATATATATATATGGTAACAGCCTATAAACCCTATAGGGCAAAGGCCTCCTCTGTAAAGAGGGTATCAGGGCATAGTCCACCACGCGACCCCACTGCGGATTGGCAGACTTCACATATTTTGGAAATGTACTTTTTTTATTATTTCAAAAATATGCAGGTTTCCTCACGATGTTTTCCTTCACCGCCGAGCACGTGATAATTCAGCACTTCAAATTAGAAATTTCATTGGTGCTGGCACCGGGGATCGAACTCAGGTTGCTCGAGTAAATGTAATTAAAGGCGAGCGCCCGGACACTGAGCTATCACGGCTCTTGTATGTATATATATATATTTATATATGAACTACAAAAAAGTTCTTTAATCGGTATATGCTAATTAGAGCACAAATATGTAATTACAATTTTATAACAGCTAGTTTTTTAAGAGCAGTCTCTATCTTCAAATTGCTTTTGTCCCATAATTAAACAGTAAATAGGTTATGTGAAATTTAAGGACCAATCACAGACCAGCATTTTACAATTTATTTGTAACGTCTAGTAATTCAAACTGTATTCGTTACATTACAAATCATCGTTGCGTTCCTGTGTCGTTAAATGTACTATTAAAATAAAGTTAACTATTTATGTTAGTAATAGTGGCTATATACCGGTGAACTTATGTGTTTTATATTGGTGTAGAACATTTCAAAATCCTAGAACATGATTACGTTAACAGAAGATATAGGAAAGCTATTGTAAGTTATTTGTGAATCATAACTTCCTTAAATTTGTCTAACTCAAATAGATGTTTGAATAAATACCAGTAAAAGGGGAATAATTTCAATTTTGTATACCAAGAATATAGAGACTTGTTTCAATAGTACAACTTGACTTTTTGATGACTTAAGTTGTAACGATTATTTTGAAGCTTGACTGACTAAATAAAAATTATTACGAAGATCTAGAATATTACATTAATACTTTCTATTCTTATTTTATACTAGCTGTTAACCGCGGCTTCGCCCGCGCGGCCATAGCAAATTAACAATGAGTTTTTTATTTAACACCAGAAAATCTTGCAGATTGCTGAATTTTTACTTAGTTGACACTTATCATTACCTATATTTTGGACGATTCACACAATATCATTATAAATTATAGCCTATGTGTTATTATGATGGACAAGCTATATTATTGTAAAGTTTCATTAAAATCTATTCAATAGTTTTTGCGTGAAAGAGTAACAAACAAACATCCATCCATACATACAAGCTTTCGCGTTTATAATATTAGTAAGGAAGTAAGGATTTCAGAATCTATGTTACTTCATGTAAAACGAATGAATATCCAACGATAAAAATACCCCACTGCATAAAAAAATGTCTACATTCATAATTTTTTTGTCAGTTGAAACTAAATTCAATACAGTGATATAAGTTTGTATTAATATAATTTAAGTAATAATTAACGATTCCATTACATTCATACTATAAGTTAAAAGTTTTTTCAAAGTACCTATGTTAATACAAAAAATATTACTTTAAGCGTCTCATTTTTTTTGAGGTGTAAAATTTGTTTTTCCTTTCAGTAATGAAGTACAACATGAGATCGCACAAAATGTTCGTCAAATGATGGAAGAACTGTGGCTTAATTGGTCTCATTTGGGTGTAGATGATTCCAAGAAAATTAACAATATTACCAAACTTGTACAGATAGAGAAAGAATTGCACCGTGAGGTTATCTCAGAGACTCGGCAAAAGCTCAAAATTATGCAAAGTCAAGTTGACAGTAAGTGAATATTATATACCGTTTTTGTTTTTAGTTACAAGTAAGCAGGCATTTCACTGGCTGCTCCCCTCCCCCCTTCAACATTTACAATACAACACCAGCAAGTAAGATGTCGCTATGTCTCTCTAAAATCAGGCAGCTAACTAATGAGGAAACTGCAAAATTAGTTTATTATGCTTATTTTCACAGCATAATGTCCTATGGTGTCTTACTTTGGGGTTCCGCATCCGGTCTAGACACAATATTTGTATTACAAAAGCAGGCTATACGGGCCGTCTATGGCTTGGGTCCACGTGAGTCGCTACGACATACATTTAAGCAAATAAACGTCTTGACGCTCCCGTCGCTTTACATACTTGAGAACATCATGTATGTACGTAATAATATCGACCTATTTACGAAAAAACATACACATCGCGTCGGGGCCGTGGTGACACTCTGGAAGTACTGAGGTTTAGATTAGCTAAAACCAGAAAGTCGTTTCTTGGAAGATGCATCAACTTTTATAATAAAATAGGTGACATCCACAAAACAACTAAGTATAAACAATTTCAAACAATTTGTAAAAGCTACCTTAATGGCAAGGGCTTATTATAATATCCAAGAATACATAGAGGACAAGGATGTTTGGAAATGACTCTTGCTCTGCACTTGCAAGACCCCTGGCTGCTGCTGATTTTATACCCAAATAAGTGTGTATAATTGCATTAAAAAAAAATATATATAACAAAAAGAACAAGACCGCAGAGTTTCTTGCCGGTTCTTCTCTGTGCAGGTCTAGTTTAGTGAACCTGTGGTAGATTTTTGTTGACGTTCAATAAGAGCTTAAGTTAGGCCTATATTGAATAAATATACTTTGACTTTGACTTTGACTTTGATAAAAAAAGGGGGCCCTAACCTAACCTTCTGCTTTATGCCAGTCTTATTTGGGGCTTTAATTCCACTGATAAGCCTACCAATTGTATCAACTGCTGTGTGAATGTACTACTAAGTACTAAGTTTTTAAATATAATGTAATGAATTTGTGATCTCTTAGTTAATAAATGTCTTTTCTTCCCTAGAATTGAAAGAAGAAACTGAAGAACTTAGCAGATGCTTATCAATTGATATATCTATCCTTGATTACAAGACAGACATGATGTTAGTAGAGTATAAAAGAGAATTGGAAAATCAAATTGCTGGGTAAGAATTATTTTTGATTCATTTATGTATGAACACATTAACATTTCATACTTTTTGTACCCTCCTTGTATTTTTTCAACTTTGATTTTATGAAAGTGTTGAAGTTTAAAATTTTAAAAGCATTTGAATACTCTCCATTAAGTATCACATAGATAATAGCCATATTTTTTCCTAAGGTATAGGGAACAAGTAGAGCAACGCCGCATGAAAATGGAAAGGCTGCTTGAATGGCAGCGTGATTTAGCAGAGAAACTTGGTGTTACTATACAAGAGTTGCAAGAAATTCCACTGCCATCTGAAGAGGAATTGGATAAGTTGAAGGATCACCTTGAAGTACTGCAGGCAGAAAGAGATAAGAGAGCTGAAATATTCCTAAACACACAGGTTGAAATTAAAGACATAATGGGTATGTGGTTTGATATAATTTGGCTTTGCTTTAGTATATGGTATCACGATTTTCGTTAGTTTAAATTTTAATAAGTAATAAGTCATTGAAGTTTTATAGGTTAACTACTAGGAATCGTTTCGAACATTATTTTTTCGTTCTAAAGCATTAGAAAGAGACAAGGTTTTGAAGTGGTTGATAGCCCAATTCAGAGAAATTCTGATTCGCCTAAGAGCTCCTTTTGTGGTTATTTTTTTTACAACCACCCATAAATAGAGCCCCAAACTACAAAAAATAAACTTTATTATGTTTAAACAATGATGTTTGTTGGAGTTACTTTGAGGCTAAGCTACATTTAAAATTTACAGAAAAACTGCAAATCAAGCCTCAAAATAAATTTGAACATTTAGTGGTGACATCTCTGTCTGTTGACTTCAAGGTTACTGATCTAAACATGGACCGTCTTGCTAAACTACAGCAAGACTTGCAGGAGAAATATCAACAAACTAATAATAGGGTATGTAATTTGTATCCATAAAGTATATGTATACAAAACTTTATATATCGATTTTTTTTAAATGTCCCTACTTTAGGAAAACTATCAATGTCGGGAGAGTTTTACAAATGCAAATTAAGGAAGGACATAACCAGATCTGTAATAAATTAAGTAAATACTTAAAATTACAAAAGAAATTAATTTCTTTTGCTATATTTTTATATGTTATTAGTGTTCTATGTCTCTTTAAGGTACTCGAGTTACGTGAGCGCCTCATGAAACTCTGGGATTGTCTTGAAGAAGATCACATCTACAGAGAAAACTTTTTACAAGCTCATCCTGGCTGCAATCCCCATACAGAGAATGCTATTAAAGAAGAGATAAGGAGGTGTGATCAGATTAAACGGCAAAAGATACAGGTGAATTTATCAAATTCTTTACTAGCATTAGATATATTACTCTTTTACCTAAGTAATAAAAACCGTTTTAAGATTGTAAATATATATGGAAATTTTAATTTTAGGTCTTTGTAGCAAATGTCCGCACCAAAATCAAATTAATGTGGGACAACATAATGTACTCAACTCAGGAGCGTGAGGAATTTGTCCACTATTTCCAAGACATATTCACTGAAGATACACTCACATTGCATGAACTATATTTGGAGAAGATTACCAAATTCTACAATGAGCACAAGTAAGATATTTGTTGTTTTTTTTGCTTTTCTGTTATGATTTGCGAACCTAAATTATATATCTCATTAGTATTTGTATTATATAGTATGTATTATGTATAGTATATAGTATGTATATTTGGCTTTATGAATATGTTATTAAAATATTAATATACAAGAATTATTACTGGGAATTAAAACAAAAACTAGTCACGCACGTACTAGACAAATGGAGAGCGATGGGTCACAAAAACGGGCGAAGGTGTAAGAAGTCATGTTGATCTCTACAAACTAACTCCTAACAGCTTCGCTTATAGCGACATGTCACTATAAGCAAAGTTAGGTAGCATTATATTGAACTTAAATAATTTTATATGAAAACCAAACTTAGCTGTGTACTTCATGTCAGCTGTATATGTCATGATAACAGATCTAATGTTCTGTAACAGGAACATCTTTGAGATGGTGGTGACCCGTAAAAACCTCTGGTTGAAGATGACAGAATTGGAGGCGCGAGCGACGGAGCCGGGCCGCTACCAGAATAGAGGCGGCCAGTTACTTCGCGAGGAGAGGGAAAGAAAAGCCATAGCCAGCAATGTAATTCATGCACATAATTCTTTCCAATATCTATCAGTTTTAATTTTCATGTGTTATTGCAATTAGTATGTAATTGTTGGTAAATCATCGTAATTTAAGGATTGTTACTTGTCTAAACATGCTAAATTTGTAGCAATGACTTGCTTTTCAAAATTTTTCTTTATTCAATATACTTAGGCTTAATTTAAGCTCAAAAAAACCTACCACCAGTTCACTAAACGACATCCGACTTGAGAACCAGTAATAAACACTGCAGTCTTGTTATCTCTTTTTTTTAATGTATCAAGTATACAATATTATTAAAGTACAAAATCAACAACAGCCAGGGAACTTGCAAATGCAGAGCAAGAGTCGATTCCATACATGTTTATGCTCAATGTTGCTTTTTTTTTCTTTTATTTTAAATATTGTAATAATATGAGACTGAATCTTTATTATAGTTCCTTTAATAAAAGTACATCACAAGGTCATTAAGCCACTGATATATTTTTATTAAAAGAACTTAGAACCAATTATTATAAATTAAATTTGTTAAGATCTGTTGCAGTCAAGCTTTGATGCATTGATGGGTTTTAGTGTGGTAAGTCCAGTGATCTACCACCCTAAATTCATACAGTCAACTCTTTCAGCTTCCGAAAATCGAGGCTCAAATACGAGATTTGGTGACTGAATATGAAGCAAGAACTGGTAACACATTTACTGTTGATGGTAAGCCATTATTGGAGCTCATGCAGGAAGATTGGGAAATTAGAAAGACGGTGAGTAGGTATTATGTTTAACTTTATTCAATAGTTTTTGTATTTATTTAACATTAATATGCAATTTATGTATATTATGTTTTCTTTATTTATGCGTGATATGATTGGACCTGTAGTTTACACTTTCATACATGTCATGTATTATTACATTTCCAATTTATGCATTTACTACACTTCCAATCATATAATTTTTTTTCTGTGGATGAATACATTGCCACCTGTTAGTTGGTAGTGAGTTTAATTATGTACTAAAATAATTATCAAATTACCATGTAAACCTAATAATTGAAATAAAAAAGTAAGATGCAAAAGTAAAGCCAGTAAGAGGTGAACTTGAATAACAAGAATATCAATCTGTCATCATCTCTATTAAGGCATCTTGTTGTCTTAGTCTATCAAAAGGTCTATAAAATCAATAGGTAAACAAACAATATGTTGAATGTTCATTAAAAATAAATCAAACAAATGTGTTGTACACAATGTGTAATAATTTAAGCAAATACTTTGTAACATACACAGGAACGACACAATAAGCTGTCTGCACGGAAACAAGCTCTGACCCCGACAACCCCGTTGTTTCGTTCCTTAGCCACTTCCCCAGGCAAACGAAATCGCACTGCAGCCGGCCTAACAGCAACAGTCGACAGGAATAGGTAACTAATGGAATATCCTTCAGGCGTCAAGTCTCAGATGTGATATAAGTTTGATTGATATGAAGCTTCATTGGACACAAAGACCATGGAAAGCTAGTGTAACTAAAGTGTTCAAAGCTTCTTATACGCCTTGAACACTTTATGGGGTACTCAAGTAATGATGTATGCTCTTTACTCGGCATTCATTAACTTTCAAAGAAGACACACAGAAATCTTGTTGTTCACTGGACTCAAATGCGAGATTGTTGCAAATACGTTATACCTAAAAAGACACATTGATGTTAATAGGATATGAACGGGTACGACTTCACCTTAACGTATCGTAGTTATAAGTAATTTTCTGCAAGTGTATAATATGGTAGGATGATAGACACACCGTAAGAATGGAAAATAGTTGAGATTTGTGCATTTTGTTATTGGCGTTATATGGTTTGTAACATTTTTTGGTATGGTCCAATTGAGTGTATGCAGTTCTTTCAATTCCTAGGCCACCAGCAAAGCGGCCACTGATCACAGGCAGTGCCACCAAAGCGGTCACCTCGCTGGCCACTAACCTGTCAGCGCTAAAGAGATCAGCTATTTCTACCGTCAAAAGGTTTGCATTGCCATTTTGTTCAATTTATGATGACTCCGTGGCGCAGTTGCCAAGGTATTGGCTTCGGCTTCGGGGGTCGTGGGTTCGATTCCCACACGGGACAACTATTTGTGTGACCCACAGATGGTTGTTTCGCATCTGGGTGTTTGTCCGCGTGAAGTTTATGTTTGTAAAACATCCTTTACAACACAGGATAATATTATCCTAAAGTAAGGGCAGTGTTTTTTATTAAAAGAATAAAAAATGTTTTTACTTGTATTTTAGAGCAATTTCTCTTCTGTCCTGTAAACGAATGCTAAAAGCCCCATGAGGAGTAACTATCTAAGCTTATAACATGAATGAGTAGCTGTGTTATAATCGTTTGAAAACCTAGAAATATACTTAACTGTACAAAATAAATTAAATTAACATTTTATATGTTCTATATGGATCACAATATATTTCATTCCTTTTGTTACATTTCAGTGCACATTATTGAAATTAATGAGGTGAGAATCGCAATTGTGACACTGATAGAGGCAAGTTAGTTGTAGCTAAATGAAAAAATGTTAAAGTATGTCTTTATCTAGGAATATGTTGAGGGAATGGGATCTATTGTTAATATTTGCAACATCTGTATTATGTTAGGATAATTTATCATAATTAAGTAGACTGTTTATAGAATGTTGAACTCAAATTAACCTGTTACATTGTTTTAGAAATTTTTTTAAGTAACTTATCTTTAGGTATTTTATTGAATATTATTTTTGTTATTGAATAAGTAGTAAAATATCGTAATAGACATAACTTTAAATTATTTTCTTTTATGTATAGGGAAATAATCTTTATGATATATTTACAGACGTATCAGTGGTCGCCTAGCTGCGAGGGCTGTTGTAGAGGGTAAAGGTGATCACGCAAAGAGAAAGCTGGACTATGGGGGCGAATTGAAAAAGACACCAAAAGCTACTGTTAACGGCAGCATACTTAAGCATAAACGAACGGTAATATTAACGTTAATAAAATGAACAATTTACTTATTAAAGTAGCTTGTACCTGGCTTCATTTTCTTGCAACTTCTTTAACAGTTGGTGATTAGTATTTTCTTATTCACAATAAAATCCCCGAATTGGTATTTAGGCTTTTTACACATCCCCTTTTTAATGTACATCTAAATACACTGAATAAATATAAATTAATGGGATGCTCAATTCTTTATAAATATTGCATTTTTTTCATCACGAATCATGTATATAGTGATTCTTAATAGTACTAATTAAATAAAACAAAAGAGTTATTGTTAACACAGTCAAATCAAGGATATTCATGTACCTGTTAACAGTCTCAGGGTCGGAGGCGTAGCGCTGGTCGGCGCTCAATGAATGCCACTCGATCAACTGCTGGCTCTCATGAAGATGCACCACCTAAGGACCCACTCATGGAGACCACACTCCTCACCACATATACCGACTTCAAGGTAAACCTGACGTGTTATTACGTTCTCATATAGGATAAGCCAATCATGGTTGTATCGGTTTCAAAATCTATATAAATAAATTGGTAGTTTTTCTGTAAGTATCTACTCAAATAGATAACCTGAGAATTTCTTATCCAATAAAGACATTTACAGTTAAACTTTTGTCATTAAATCTCCTTGTTGTATAACTGTGTGTGAATTTGTTCATGAATGTTTTCTGCAGGACGGCATCAACGAAAAGCAGATCAGCCGCAGTTCAATGGCCACCAAGGGCCACGAGGTGAACATACCCACTATAGTCTGCCCGACCATCCAGGAGAGGGCCACGCCCACGGACACCCCAAAAAAAACTCCGAGGACGAAAGCGCCCCTCACCCCTAAGATCGGCAAGGAGAACATTCAGCACGCCAACAACGCAATGACGCCGAAGGGCAACTTGCTTCAGACCCCCAAAAGGCTAACCCGGTCTGCGCTCAAGTTGAACAACGACGGCTTCCTCACCCCCCGCACGCCCCTCAGCGCGAACAAAGTGAACCTGCAGAGGCAGAACACCGCCGCTACCTTTGCCCTAAAAACTACACCGAACAACGTCAGCAGATCGAAGTCCCATTCGCATTTGGTGCGCGCCAAAAACCTACCGCCGCTGATATAACGTAAATATGACACCGAGCGTCTATTATTTTAATGTGTTTGCTCGTCCACCGATGCGTTTCGTTCAAAGTTTAACGGCAAGGCGTTAAAGTAGTAGATGCTTTTGTGTATATATGTTCGTGATAGAGGATTCTCTTCGAGAAAATCAATGTTATTTTTTTTATTATTTATGTGGATGACTTGCATTATTCCATTATTATGATATACAGTTAAGCCTTGCACTAGTGTTTTTTTATAAATAATTTTTGATTATTTGCGATTTTTTAATAATGTTAATGAATGAATGATCAAATATTTAAAAACACATTTGACTCTATTGAAAACAATCTACCATACTATAATAAAATTAGCGTATGTTTTGTAGTTGTAACATTCAATTTCTCTTTATACACGAGAATCTCAAGTTAGTTAAAAAAATATTTATAATAATAATTCCTTAATTCATTAATATTCCATATTTTAATTTGATTAATAATTTGTTACACTTTAATCACCATAATTATGGTTTTGAATACATTGATTTAGTTTTTGTAATATAAGGGATTTTATATAGTTATAATTATGGAGTCAGCTGGTTTGATAAGTTATTTATTCTGGCGGACTATTGAGTTTATTTCTTAGCCTTTTAATCTACCATTGAACTTTGTTTGTAAATACTATACAGAATATGGTTATTCCTCTGTTTTTGGCAGCTTGTGTTTGTGCAGTGGGTCCGTACTTAATACTCGATCAGTATTTAGAAGATAAATCGCTTGAGCTTTGTTGCGTTATGTGGTGCGCTGTTTCAGTTTACGTGCTTTTTAATATTATTTCATTATTTTAAATTTAATTTTAGCTAATGTATAATTTTTGATAATTTGAATAATGTGTAAATTATGCTTGTAATATATTACGAATAGTTTGAACTAATTATTGTTTCATTTGAATAAATCTACATAATTTCCGCTCAGTTGCATACATTCCTTATAATTAAATAATTCCTAACATTCGTTTTAACTTGACAATAAATCTGAAGTTCGCACACATCTCTGAACACGAAATTGATCCTATGACTAGGACTGCATAGCCTACACGATGAATTAGTCAAAATATAAAGGCTGTGTTGTGTGGTTTTCTTAAAATGTCTATATTTTTCAATTTCGACGTTGGTCCGAATGGCCGGAGATTTAGAAGAGCCGTAGAAGGGGATAGAGCAGACATTGAAACTATTTTGGACAGAAAATACACGGATAAACTTTTCGGTGAAGTCGATGTTGGGAGTTTGATGTTAGTGACAGTGATTTCTTTTAATAATGACTTCGGGATAAAACTGAATGGTGAATGCTCAATTGCGACTTCGGGTTATATAAAACACAGTAACATTTTTACAACACTGTCAAATACGGTACGGAACGCTAGTAGCATTTTGTCACTTAATGTTCGATTTATTGTAGTTTAGTTTTAAATCTAGGATATTTTTCGTGTTTTAACAGTGCCTCATAATAGTTTTACCTGATACACCCTTTAAATATACAGAAAGAAAAACAAAGACAGAACTGTTAAACAGTGATTTGTTTTGCACAAGTCAGAGTAGTAGGTTAATAAGAAATATTGATACATTTACTAGGGGACCCGACAGACATTATGTAAGTACATCTTAACACGTTGAACGCCACGCGATAAAACACGTACAGGCCAAGGTGAAATCTTATTTCCTTAAAATTTTTAAAATACTATTTTTATCAGCTAATAGATAAAAAATGTGAAATTTGTCAATTCAAAACTTTGGTTTTGATGTTAAAAATATTGTATTTGAGTAACTTGACCCACCAGTGGGCCGCATGGCCTCATCGGAAGGAATCGCGATTTTATTTCCGTGGGGGTCACGCTGCGGCCCACCCGTGCACTTCAACCCGCACGCATTAATCGTCCGTCCAATGTAAATTCAAAAATTCATCTGTTTGACTCCAGTGACACATAGCGTACGTGCAATATATGATATGTTTTTTTTTTAGGGTTCCGTACCTTAAAAGGTAACAAAAGGAACTCTTATAAGATCACTTGTCCGTCTATCAGCACCAATTTTATTAGTTATGACGAAACCTTAAAAACTTGTAAGTCACATTTAATATAAATCCGGCACCCACTTCTGGTTTTGCAAGAGACGTAACGTTTCAGCGAATTGAGTGCCTTGTCGATTTGCATGATCGACGAGAGCAAAGACGTCACTGGATTTATGGCTTTAGGTGACCATCCGAATGTGCCCAGTATCGACGAGGCCGATTGGGAAAACTGGATGAGGAATATGTTTCAGTGAGTCTGTTTCTTCTATATCAAGTGTAGGGAATGCAATTCGGCGTCCGAAGTTCGAATCCGGCCGGATTGATCAAACCGAGATGATTATCCCTTTTCGGTTTTGAGTTGTTAATTAACTGTTAGTAAGTTAATCAAGTGTCATTGTTAAGTAGTTTATAAAAAAGTACCTGGACGACCGAGCTTCGCTTTGTTTTTTGTCACAAAAGAAGAAAATTGAACAAAAAAGGAAAATAAAATAATCACCTGGACTCGAACCAGGGTCTTCTGGTTTCGTGACCGCCCGATTTCCCATCTGAGCTATTTTAACCTTGTAGATGGTGGCGAAATTTACCTTCGTATTATAATGACATTATAGCAGTTTTTCAGTGCCTGAAAACACGGACAAAACGACATTTTCTAATCTAAAAATGAAACGTAGATTCTTCTGCGTTTCGTCTGGTGAGTGAGGTAGCCGATCACCATTTTATTTTAAGGTTTGCTTTATAAAAATGTCCATGGGCGGCGGTTATCACTTAACATCCGGTGAACCACTAGCTCGTTTGTCACTTTGTCACATAAAAAAAATATAAAATCAATCAATAATCTTAATCTTAAACAAAAACAAAACAATTAAAATCTAGTAGTGTATGTAAGTAAAATTTTAACGATGTAACGAGTAATTCAGTCTTCCCAGATTTTATTTTATCCAATTATTATTGTAACTTTATAAAAAATTTGATATAAGTAATTACACTTATTAATTATAATATGATCCTAATTAAATATATGATTAAGATAAGATCACATTAATTATTAAAGTGTATTAGCAATATACTGGATCCGGTATATTGGAAGAGAAATTATTAATATATTAGAACTAGTTTTTTTTCGAATCAAAGCTTAGGTAAAAAGTTTATAAACTTATCATTTATTGCTGTTCACCTCATGTTTAATCATGCATCGAGTATTTGAACAAAATCCGTCGTATACAATAAATTATTTTAATATTAATATTTTTAAGGAAATACTATATGTCGCGGAACACGCTATTCATACATTTCATGTGCTGCGTTGATGAAGTCGCAGAATTTTTCCTGGAGGAAGTTTTAATTTCAGTGTTTCGAGAGGATGTTTATTTACTTCATATCGTTCTATTTGTGCCAAACGGATGCCCAGAAGGTTGGTCCGAACTTTTTATGCTATCAAGCGAGATAATTCTTAGTAGAGCTATACAACTGCTTTCGCTGTTGCTCGAATGGGCAGGTTCGTCCGGAGAACAACAACTTCACAGAAGAAGACCGGCATGAAGTGGACGCAAGATGGTTTCGCGTTTCGTCTGATGAGTGAGAAAATCGGGGCCCACTTATTATAAAGGTTGTCAATTCGTTTGCAAGCCCTCCGGTGTTGTAGATGTCAATGGGCTGCGGTACTCACTTAACATCAAGTGAATCGCCTGCTCGCTTAACAATTTCTCACGTAAAAAACGTGCCCTGGAGATTCCTTGTTTTTAAAAAAAGGATTTACACATAAAAATATTAAGCAATATAATTATATCTACCCTAAAGCTCCAAATGGTTAAAATACAATTTTTCGAGGAAGTAATATATTATAGTCGAAGTCGGATGGAATACTTTATAATAACAATTTATTTAAAAATCTTCAGCAACTAATGCTGTACCGCTTAATATTTATGGAATATTTGATATTGCCCATGTGAAGAAAATATGACTAGATTGACGTTTACTATACTTACATTATTTATTTTAGGTTGCTTGAATAGATTCTTAAGATTCAAAAAACGTAATTTTTACAAATACTGGTCTAAGAAAGGAACTTCCGTGGAGAACAACGAATCGACTGAAAGTTATTGTAACCTTATCTATACTGCAATGCGACAAGATTTTTGTCCCAAGCTTAAAGTCCGCAGGGCTGTGTTAGTAAACATTTTGTTCGTATCATGTAAAACTGACCTCCCACTAGATGGAATGATGTCCTGTGCAAGTGTACGGGAAGTCGATGGATGAAGGTGGCTCAGAATCGTGCTTCGTGGCCGTCTGTGGGGGAGTCCTATTATTTTTTTTAAAAACATTGCCCTTACTTTAGGATACTTTAGGATACATTAATTTCACGTGGACAAACACCCAGATGCGAAACAGCTATCTGTGGGTCACACAAATAGTTGTCCCGTGTGGGAAACGACCCACGATTACGGCAAAACCAATAAATTTCAACGGGACCACACCATGTGTTCAGCAGTGCGAAACAGCTAATGTGGGTAATGATGATGATGATGATGATGTAAAACTGAATAGTTATGAAAATGAATATATGGGTGATGGCATCATTAATATAGTAATTGTAAAAGGTTGTGGTTGTGTTTTCTCCTTCTCCCCTCAACCACTGATTTGATATTGAAGTAAAAGTTTCTTTTTACAACTCGGGATAATCTAAAAAGTTTATTATGTCTTTTTCAATTTGAGCTATTGATTAATTGAGCCATCTATTTAATAGAGGTTCATAATGTCATTTTCCTTTTCGAATATTTAATTTTAGGGAAGAAGACAATGATGATATAATAGCGTTGTTAGACCAGAAATGTCCGCGTTTGAAAGAAATGTATGGTGAATATTACATCAGCGAAATAATAGGACGTCATCCAGATATGAAACGCCAGATTATTGTAGCTGATGTAAGTACAGATAATAACACATATGTAAACAAAATTTTGATGTAAAAGCTAAAAACGATGCTTCAACATAACAAAACCAACGGGCAATAGTTTTACTTGTCATTTGATGCACAATTAGTGAAACATTTGGCCTTTTTATTTATTATTTGAGGAAAAGTCTCCCGGTAAAATCTCGGGCTGGTTCGACCGGGGAAGTAATTAGGCCTCATAGAAGCATAGCGGGGATTAAAATAAACCAGATGAAATATATAAATAAAACTTATTTATATATTTCATCTGGTTCTCCAACTCACGTATATAGTTCAAATTAACAAAAGAGGAAATGTCTACAATTTTAATATTTCAGCATCAAGACCGTGCTGTTGGTGTTATGTGCTTAAATGCCGAAATTAATTACGAAGTTCTACAGAATACTTATGAGTTACACGCCTTTTACGGCCTGAGAAAAGCCACGTCATTGGAGAAAGAAAAGTCAAAACGGAGCAATGTATTGCTCAAAACCTTTGGGTGCTTATAATTTATTTTGTTATAGCCTGCGCCACAATAAATTGACTTTAAAATTGTATCTATCTATTGGGTATGTATGTAATTTTTTATTTGCAGACAACCAATACTCTTCGGCAAATGGGGTCCATTTGACTGCAATACAAAGGTGAAGCAAATTATAGAAAAAGAAGTAAGTGATTTATTGACAAGCAACAATAAGGGCTGTTCCGTACTACATCCCACCGATTAATACAATCAAGGGTCATCGGGCCACTATCTGCACAAAATCTTAGGCCATTTATCTCTCAATAGATAACCTTCGCTCAAGCATATGCGCAGGGCTGACACCGTCGTATAAAGATCCTAGAATCCGGTTGTTTGTAAATTTGTATAAAAAACACGAAGATTTTCGCCGTTGCCGGGATCGAACCCTCATCTTTCCGATTTGCGCCCAAACTAACTTTTTAATTAACTTTTCGGCCCTTTACACGTTTTACACATTTTATCGCGGTTTTATTTAGTATTCGAAACGTCGGGAGAAATATAAAAAAATGAGTTAAATAAGTTCTAGCACAATGGAGCCCCATATTTAAATGCTGAGTTTCTTTCGCCGGTTCTTCTCAGTACAGTGGCTTTCTTTTCCGAACCGGTGGTAGTGTTTTGACTATCAATAAGTGAGTGTAATGCTCCTATGTTGAATAAATACATTTGATTTTGATTTTGATTTTGATATATTTCGCAGACGACTTCACACGAAAATGTCGCAGTCCCAAGAACCGAGCGAAGGACCCCCAGCAGAGTGATTTTCAGACACAATTCCGTCATGGAAGACAGTTTCCATCGTATTTATTTTAAAAATGAAACGTCCGACGACTACAGCGCAAAGTTTTACGCCACCTCACCCACACCATCACTCGCTTCCAATCTTTCTGTGCTTCACCTACTGGAAGAAGATCCATTCGATTACGAAATTGTTAATATCGATACAAAGCTGTTGACCGTTCCCCATGGCCCATCCGTTGAATTTGTGTAAGTTGGGAATTGATGAATTGAGACATTCAATGCCCGGGTTTTTTTTAACGGCATAGGGTACGAATAAAGGATTTTTTTTTATACTCTCGACAAACGGTAAATTTTTAAAATAACATCTTCAATTCATAATGTTAAAATTGTCGAAAATAAGTTAACTATAACATACATTTATGTCTTGTTGAAAAAATGGATCTATTTTTAACTATTTTTTTAATCAAACCGCACTTTTTACATTTTCGAATACGTTACGTCTTTGTATAATTTTGTCATAATTTTCAATTAAAATAATTTCACTTATAAAAAATTTATAGCTGGAATAATGGTTATTAATTGCACTTTGTTTACACGAAAATGTAATTTTTTTAGGCCAGAAATCAGATCTCAAACCTCTAGACATTCCAGAATTGAAGCAAATCTAAAAAGTATGTGTTTGCTGAAATTATAATGTATTAAAGTTTATCTTTATAATCAACTAATTTGTTTATTGGTAACGTTTTTAGGAAGGACCTCTACGTACACATCGAAAAATGATGAGGTTTTGGATAAGGTGAAGTACGCGGGAGAACCAAATGCATTCATGATTGAGTTATTGGGCTTGCGTGAAGAACTTGACTATAGGTTATATTTGTAACCGTGTAGTATATATACAGCGTGTCGTTACAACCGCGACAATAAATGAACACACGTCTAACGTTACTTGCCAATAATCATAAAAAATATAAAAGTAAAAAAAAACATAATAAAAAAAAAACAATTTGTCAAACAAACTATATAAATAAAATAGAAACAAAATTTGTAGCATCCTATACAACTACAACTGACTGATTCATACATTCAGAGACTTTTTCATTCGTTGCCACAGGGTCGCATTACAAACCTCTCCTTCTAACATTATGTTTTGCCTCTTTATAGTCATTCAACCCATTCATATGCTTTGCGAGCTTTACAAATGAACTTTGCGTTACAGTTTTATACATAAGGGTGTTCTTAAATTGTTTGTTTTGGAAAAATTTTATAACTCGGAAATATTGATGTTTAAAGAATTGAATATTTAATACAATTTTAAAAAGTTATCCTCTATATATTATGTGTGTTCATTTATTGTCGCGGTTGTAAAGACATGCTGTATATTCAGGAAAGAAAAAGAAAGTGGTAAAAGGGAAAGGACTTCCCCTTTAAATTTGTTGCTTAGTTCCAACTCTAGAAATTGCGGTCAAGTACATGGAAAACAGAAACAGATAATAAATAATTTCTCTTTACTCTTTTAGACAAGCATTCGATTTACTGGAGGCTGCTTTCGAAGCTATGAACTTATATGATTATTGCATCATCCGCGTACCATGCTCAGACAAAGCTTTTCCGCTTTTACAACATTTTTGTGTGAGTCTGCGTGATAATTAATAATATTTTATAAACTATTATTTAGTATATTGCATTTGTTTTTTTTAATTATTTTATTATTTATTATATTTGCATTGAATTTGTTTTTCGTAGTATTTTATATGTAATTTGATTAATGTTTTTTGCATCATCAACAATTTTTTTCCAGTTTATTCCAACTAAGCTCAACGTATTTAATAAATACGCCCTATACATCGCACATAAAAGTGCCATTTTAGGGTAAGTACCTAATTTGTTTGCAGTTATTACCAGACTGCCGAACGAAGGTTATCTTTTTAGAGCGTATGTATATAATTCTATGTAGCGCTCTACAACCTCTTTTGACAAATATTAAAATATGTGTTATTCGTAGATTCGTCTCAGTTGTGGGAGTGGTAGAGGTTATATTATTTCAAGGTGTCTGCGAAGAAAAAAAATAGAAATGGTTATTATAAAAATTATAGTTTTTTGTTTCATTAAAATTATTTATTTTTATTTTTCCCCTGCCTTTGAATGAAATGTGAGCGTTAATTGCAATTGCGATACTTTTATTAATTTATTTATTTAGCAATCTTTTTTAAATTTGAAAATAAGACTCCTTAGAGTAATTTATACGTAGTAATGTTTTGTCGAACTATCAACTCTTAGTAGTGTTATATAATGTATAAGAAAATCGTTGTTTGACCTTTTTTACATTGTTGCGTGCATACTGTCATCCGTAACACAAGAAGGGTTGCAAGTGCCTGCCAAATTTCATAAGGTTCATAACGGCAAGTTACCTCACTCATCACGCGGAATGCAAAAGTTTATCACAACTTCATGTTGGCCTTCAGTTAAGACAATCACGTCTTTAGTGGTCAAGTCAACTGTTTTATGATATAACTGAAGCTGTTTCTGTTCTAACACAATATATTTATCCATTTGTAATACAAATTAAGCCATTACTGTTAGCAAACTTCGCGTTCGAAGAGCCGAGTTGATAGATGTGCCGTTGATCGCCCAGTTGTTGAACAATTTGGACGTGAAAGAGACGATGTGGACAGTTGAGAACTCGGTCAATAAGAAGGAAGAACGAATATTCGTGATGGTCAGCGGCAGTTCAATAGTTGGCCTTGGCGTATTGGAGTGAGTATTGCAGATGCGTTTATCAGTTGTTTACGAAGTAGTAAAGCGTACGTAGTATATATGAAAAGGATTTGGATACAATCGGTTGGGTAGTTAATTTTTTTATATTTCAAACACAAAACAATTAAAATCTATGTATATACAGCGTGTCGTTACAATAGCGACAATAAATAAACACACGTCTAACGCGACTTGCCAATAATCATAAAAAAATACAAAATTAAAAAATAATCATAAATAAAAAAAAATCATACAAATTAATTAAATAAAAAAGAAACAAAATTTGTAACACCCTATACAGCGACAAGTGACTGATTCATACATTCAGAGACTTTTTCATTAGTTGCCATAACTGGAAAGGGCCCAAATGGGTGAAAATGCTTACATGTAAGATATTACCCGCATTTAATGTAAGTAATACATATAACTATTTGTTTCAGGACAGCGGAACAGATAAATTACATCCAAACTAAATACAATATAGACACGTATCATATAAACAAATACCACTATAGGGCTCACGGCATTACCGCTGGATTTAGTGCTTTAAAAACTGTGCTGATATATCCTGTGTTTGAAGTGCACTTTAGGTTCTTCGCCCGGGAAATGATGAGGTTGTCCGATTGTACTACATTGGTTTGGCTGACTGCCTACAGAAATAAATGGGTACGTTCTCATTAGTATTAGTTTCCTAAGATTAACGTTGGTATGATTCCAAACTTTAGCTCATTATTTGTGCTATAAATAAGTAATAAATAATTTAGAACACATTTTAACACAACGCTCTCTAGTCCCAAACTAAGCAACGCAACTATGGGTACTAGATAACTGATAAACCTACTTAAAATACAGTTTTTTTACATATATAAACACCCAAACACTAGAAAAACACTATGCTCATCACAAAATATTTTTCCAGTAGTGAGGATCGAACCCAGACCCCCGGGCGCAGGAGGCAGGTACACTACCCACTACGCCATTCGGGTTATATTTTAGTACAATATTACGATATTGTACTATAATATACCTAAGAAATGTATCGTTGGGTATTCATGTTTCAGACCCCTAAAGAGGCAGGCAAAGGTACAGCTTTATGTATAAATTCGAAGAAATTTTAACATTGTCATAATATTCTCTCCTTTGATAGCACAGCCCGGCATACTGAATTATATGTCGTGAGCGTTATCCGTAATTGATTCAAATGACACTGACGTAAGTGAAACGCGAGTCTACCAATTTTAGTACATATTTTTTGCGCCGTTTGGTACGGCTAATGTGTCATCTAGACAAGTATCCGGATGCCGTTTTAAAGTTAAACAGCTGTTTTAAAATGAATTTTTCTCACACAGATGGCGCACAAAGCTAATACATTAGCGATAGCTATGGTACCGTTGACGCCGAGAAAATCCGAGGTTGACTGCGCTTCTGTACCGGAAATAAATAAAAGCAACGCAATCGCAAACAGCTTGTAGGCGATTTGTATCGCTTGAATTTTACTTTTTCTGATAGTCTCAAAATGATGATAGTGACGGTCCTAATTTTAGCCTTTTTGAAGTGAAAAGTGACCAGGCCTGATACTGAGTGATTGCTGCCGCCCGTGGACATCTTCAATACCTGATGGATTGCATTGCCTGCAATTAAAATTTGGGTCCGGCTACCTCACTTAAAAAGGCTAATGTATAATGTGTTAATTCTTTTCTAGTGAAGCATTTAGTGCCTGGTTTATAAGCAAGAAGTTCACGACTCTACCCAAGGTAAATGTCGACGCTAGAATTGTTGTAGTTGGCGCGTCCAGGACTACGATGGCTTTTCTCAACGCTTTGATATTTAGGTAATTTACGGAATCTCCAATAAATTCAAATATTTAATTCACTGTGGTAGGATCACGATGATTTACGGGATCTTAAAGGTGTTAGTGAGGTAACAACCGGCGCCAACCTTTTTAAAAGTTGTCAACGCATCTACAAGCCTCAAACGTCATAGATATTCATGAGCGGTGGTCTTCACTTAACATCAGGTGATCCGCCTGCTCGTTTGACTCTTTTTCACAAAAAAAAATGTTTTTGTTTTAATTCTACATAAATACTTATTCATTGCTAGCTGACTCGGCAAACGTTGTTTTGCCATATAAATTATTTTTAGAGGAATCGGAACGCACGCATAAAGTGTTTGACAGGTTACACAGACATAGTTGAAGGTACAGTTTGTATGGGAAAATTAAATTGTTGCTATTCGATTTTCCATGCAACTTTTACGTAATTTCTCATCGTTTAAACCTTCCCTGGACTGACTTAAATATTTCAAAACCAAAATTAGCCAAATCGGTCTAGCCGTTCTCGAGTTTTAGCAAGACATCCATTTTATATACAGGGTGGCTTTTCTAAGTATATCCATTTTTTTTTAAACAAGTTCTAGACATAAACAATGTTATATAAAAAATGATAAATATTTAACATCACCCGTAAGTAATTAATTACATTGATTTGAACTTATTTCAAAAAGTGCGTGATTTATACGCAACTCATTTATTTTAGGCGCGATCATTCATAACTAACACGCACACAAGTTCGTGCACAGTAAAATTTAGGTATTTATGAACCGCATTGTCAACACGTTCTGTTTTTGAGGGAATAGAATGGCATTTTTTTGGAAAAAAAAAAACTTTGTTTTTTATTTCAGTAAACGATTATACTACCGAGTCTGAACCTCCTGTGTTTTGGGCACTTCTTAAAAAATCTCCCTGTATAAGATTCTGTAATATTGTTAATATGTGCGCATTTATTTTTATATAACCGTACACAGCAAATGTTTTGTTAATATAGTTTATCGCTCTTTAAGAAAGTTGTGCAATTGTTTTCGATTAACAAGTTTATGATACTCTTTGCTTGCATACACTATTACAGAAGATTGTCTTAACGACCAGGGTAGCGTTATCGTTAAAGCTTAACTTTGATTTTAGCACTACTTAATACGTTTTAATTCCAGTGATACTTGCACATACTTAACGTTCACCAATGTGACGTTGATATCACCAAACGGCCTACCTTACGTGAGACATTCGAAGGAACTCGTTGAAAGTATGTTCCTCAAATGTCGGACCAACACTGACAAATATTTGAAAACCGTACCGTACACTTATTACGTGAACGTTGTTCAAGGCACCATGGCAGAGATTAACAGGTTTTGTTTTCATTTAATTTAGTTTTGAAATTACACGTTCATAGAAAAAGTTACTTGTATCTTGGCGTATATGTACATTTATTTATGTAAATTGTAAGTTTGCACGTAAACAAAATTGCTCTCGATTATTAATTGCGTGTATTTTCTTTGTCTGTGTTTCCTAGGTAGATTAATAAATATCTCATATACATGTTTTTGCAGACGGTCTAAGTACGTTACATTGACAAATGGAAGTATATATTATTACGACTTCCTTTTTCTGCTTTTGGCAAACAGTATCAACATCCTAAATATATGGCGAACATATTAAAACGCGATGAAGAAACGAAGTAAGTTTAAACTAAAGTTTCTTTGTATTGTAAATCTATTAATATTTCTATAGAAACCCACCAAATAAGGCGGGTCCATTGTTTTGTTTATAACATTATAGCACAAAAAAACAGTATATTATTAAACCGTTAACTGTAAAATGTTTAGTGCAACAATTGCACGGAAACGGCCATCGGTACGCTGTGACGTTTGTTACTCGTACTTGTACTACTCACCAATTCAGGTTCAACTTACACTTATAAGGTGTTAGTTCCCATTGTCTTTAAACGCGCAACTCTATTTATGAAATTAGATTAATAGAAATAGGGCGCCATATCGTCTTGAGCTTAGGGCGCCAACCTATCCACTACGGTTGGTACCTGATTTTCAATCCTTGAGACGGGAATGTAGTATTAGAAAATACAGGTCGCTGGTGTATGATTTATAACTTGTAAGTGACGAGGCAGGAATTCGGTGCCCCTAGCGCCCTGTTCAACTTGCGGAAGTGGCGCTCAGTGTTGCCGTATCAATCCTTGTCCTGTTTAAACGACTGTGTTATAGAACAGGTAGCTCGTTTCCTTGAACGGATGGCCATTAAAAGGATTTTCTCTAATAATAGTAAACTTTGGCTTCGGCCAAACCTTCGGATGTTTGTGGCCGAAGTAGGAAAGCACGCTCAAAAGCGGTTTGTAAAGTTGAAGGTGGCTCAACCCGAAGTTTCGATTAGACACATAAATGTCTCTGTTTCAATTGCAGAAATAACCAAACTCCGGTATATACTCCTTTAGACGTCCCGACGAACATCATAGAAGAGGACATTACCAACAAGTACATACCGAGGAACTTTTTCATTATCAACAACCTCTCTGATGCCAACAAAGCACTCAAATACATCAAGAATAATTTGCTATGCTTCGAACCTTGTATGTATTAAACGTTCAACTAAATTCAGACATTTGCTTTTTCTTATCTATTCTGTGGTACTCACCATGGTCCGTACTGCATACGGACTTAACAAAGTCTTGGTTGTTTGTTGCAGTTTTAAAATGTTCTCCAATTTTGGCTTTTTAAATTAAAACCGATTTTTTTATATAGCTAATTAAATTATTTAAAGGAAATAAAATAACTCATGTTTACTTCTTTACCTTGTAGATTGTGTATTAGTGTACGGCGCGACAATTCATGCGTATTGTTGCCTGTATACTCTACTAAAAATGGGAATACCGCATCAAAACATTGTGTTCATAGAACCGTTTCCACCGGAGAACCCGAGAAAACCAAGGGTTACTGTGTTTCAAAATAATAATGTGAGTGCAGCGTTAGAGCTCATTTAAATACGTATCCACAAATATCTTAAACTTTGATAATATCCTCTAAATATCTACTATCCACTCTATGCCAATAATTGTTCCGAGTTTAAATCAAACAAAAAAAAATTATACAAGCCATAGAGCTGATCTTTATAACTTTTTTTTTCACTACAAAAAAATGTTACGAAACTGAAATGTACAAATTAATTAGTTTTGTGTTTTGTTTTGTAGTATATAAGTATGTGACCGACTCCTCCGACGGCTGGTCCAATTTTGATCTTTGATGTTTTTTGTGCGTGTTCAAATGGATTCGAGAATGAGAAAGATATTTATTAGATTCACAATTCGGTCCACTACAGAATGTGTTTCAATAGCTGTAAAAATTGTTGTCGGATTTAAGATGTGTGTACAGGACAACGTCTGTAGGGTCCGCTACTAAATAATAATCCTGTATGATTGTCCCGGGGTCGATTCTACGCAAGGGCGTGTGACTACTGCTAGCATTTGCAACACCGACGTGCGCTGCGTTGACAATCCAGATCAATGTTGTAGTTTTCAGTAGCTGGATGGCAGTTGTTTCTTTATTTAGCCCTGTAACCATGCATGGCCTTAGATAATCTGGGAGTCGCCTTCCCAGGGACGTGTTTATACGTAATGTAAGAAAAAGGAGCAATTACACGCAATAACACCGGTTCCGTAGGAGATCCCTGATCCCCCTAAAGCACTGAAGGTTTTATTGGACTCTGTATCTTTCTATATATCATACTATCTGCTTCTTATGGCTGAGTCTCTTATAAAATAAAAATGATGCTTAAGTTTTACCAATATTCTATTATCGGTTCAAGACGTCATAGCTAAATGCTTGAGCTTAGTGTCCTTTAGTTCTAATACTCGAGCAACCAGAGTTCTATCCAATAGAAATTGTTAATTTTAAGTAATAACTTTTCACGTACTCAGCGGTGAAGGAAAAAATCGTGAAGAAACCGGTATATTTTCAAAATAATAACAAATAAATATTTCGAAGATTTGTGAAGTAGTCCACCAGGCCGTAGTGGGCCGCGTGGTGGACCCACTGCGGCCCCACTACCCTGATACCTTCTATACAGAGGAGACCTTTGCCCAATAGTGGAACATGTATAGGCTGTTATTCTACCTTTTATTTTACTATTATCGGTAGGTCGACAAAACTATAAAAAATGTAATGGAAGACCTAAAAATAAAGACATACAGATCGTACTACTTTCAATCGTGGAACTGCGATTATGATGATTTGGTCAGCAGTGTCAATTTCATGTCGAAATATCAAATGTTGAACGTTCCTTGCTCGGCTGTCTTCTATTACGGTCAACACGGAGTGGACGAGGCGGCTTTTGTTGGTGAGGATACATGGCACAGATTTTATCATATTTTAGTAGTGTATTTTATACAATACATTTTTTATGAAATAAATAAAAAATACGGGCGTTTTAGCAAAAAACATAGAAGCATGTCATGTAATTATAAAACGTTGAGACCAATTGGACCGTGCCTTAGCTGCTGTTTTAGCCTTCACATTGTTAGAAGAAAAATTTAATGTATCAATTTTATTAATCTAAATTACGCAACACTATACATTTGGTTATAATCAAGATTTTTGCAAAACAAACAGCATCTGTGTTTTCATTTTTTCTGCATAATTAATGTCTACCGCTCATTTGAACCATTTAGCAAGTTTATATCAGTACATAGTACTGTCTGCATCTTTAATGTCTCTTGAATTTTAAATTTTTCATGTCATTTTGAAAGATTCTATAGATTCTAACCGCTCATTAATGGGTGCCATTTCTTTTCTGTTAATTTGGATGTTCATAATACGAACGTAATATCTACATCATAGAATATTTCAGCCATAAATAAAAGCGGAATCGCCTACAATAAGGGGATTCTGATCGATCACCAGTTCAGAACGAAAGACGATTCGATATATGCCGCCGGGCCGGCAACCAGATACAACAGTAAATACTACGCGGATGACAAACAACAGATGTATTACGACTCCTATGAAATTGGCACAAAGGTACCATAAATAAGTAACTAACAGCAACTGGATTTCTGTATGTTCCCGAGAAAAAAGTAGTATCTGATAAGATAGAAATGAAATTGTTATCACTATCAGGCTTTTTCCCAATAGATTTATGTTATAATTATATAATTTAAAAATAAAAATTGCAAAATAGCATTTAAACGATATTTTAAAAGCATAAAATGAAAATAGTACAAATAAAATGATAATAGTTGCCACAAATTTTTAAATAAGGCAATGTGATGTTAAAATTTGTACAAAAGTGGACGAAAAGTTTTTCGTCCACTTTTGTACAAATTTTACCGTGTAAAGTATTAGCTCAAATACAAGGAATCATTATAAGTAATGATGTGTTTAATTCAATTTTACTGAAGTTAGGGGAACAAATAAGAAATCAGTTGGATCCGTTATTTGAACATGAATCGAAACAGAGCAAAGACACTAACACTTCCATAAGTAACAAAAGCACAGACTCCGTGACCTCAAATGCTAGTGATAAAAAAGTATCAACATCAGATTCATCGTTAGTATTAATATTAATCATAAAAAAATAATAAATTAAATTTACTGGTTAGTATTATAAATCTGTATTCTGCACATAAAGCAGCGAGGATTTGATACGACTGTTTTAAGGTTGGACTGCGAGAATAATGATGAAAAATTACCAGATTTGAAGATGCCCGAAGTTATGCATTGCATGTTACCTGGCGGGCTGCAATACTTGGAAGTACGCTCGCCGGGGAAAAAGATGCCGTGTCATTATATACAGACTTTGCATTACAACGTAAAAAAATATTTATATTTAACAATAGATCATTTTATAACTATGTATATTTTTGTACAAAAACAATTCAATACATTTCTAGTGAATTTTTTAACTCTCATAAAATAGATTGTTTAAAAATGGATTTTACGTTATTATCTTGTTTAATTAACTAACTTTCGTTAACAAAAGTTAATAACTTATCGTATGAAATTGTTTTTCAGGGTCACGTAATAGAAACCTTCAAGGAAGGCTACTTCAAGCTTCATCTTACTAAAGATTTCATTGTGGATGGCATTACGTGTTTAACTCCCGATAAGCGGCCTTTGGAAAACTTTGCTAACTTGTATGGTAGATCAGCCGTTGTACTCAATAATGTTTTCCTGCGATATACTGTAAGTTAGACACTGTTCTCGAATAATACCTAGCCTTTATTTAGGTACTTGTCTAGGACATAATTATCTGAGCAACGCGATAGCTCAATGTGCCACGGCGCGTTTTAATTCAGTATAGTCGAGCAACCTGAGTTCAAATCCCGATCATATACGGCGTCAATATTCTTGCCAATGAAACATTAATGTATGAGATTTAATTAGAAATGTTCCAAATAGCATATAAAGCCATATATTCAAAGTAGCCTATAAATGGAAGGCGGAATATGCCTTTGTACAGTGGAGGAATTTTAGAGGGACTTTTAAATTAAATCTCGGGCTAATTCTTGTTTTAAGGTTGCTAATAAAGAATATATATATTTATATTTAATAATTATTATAATTAATATATTTATTTCAATTAAGTTCACAGTTATATTTAATAACTAATATATTTATTTCAATTCAGTTCACAGTGATAATTTATTTACCCATGTGATTAAAAACGTTTCACATTTTTAAGGCCAAGAAACTGGACAATCTTTATGAATTCTTCCGTTCCCCGTGGGCGTACTTTCTGTACCATGATAAAAGTGACGAGCTGTTCGCTATGGTTAAAGAACTCTTGCCTAAGGTAGGTAATACGTTCGATTTATTGTTTGTTATAAGATTTACACCCGGTTTCTGAAACACTGATCATTGTGGAAGTTAATTAATCAGTTGTCAAATCAGAATGATCAGTTCAAAGAGTTTAACCATCCTTTTGGCAACTTAAATAAAATTTGAAAAACCATGTAACGGTTGATTAGTTAATTTCTACGATGATCAGTGTTTCGAAAACGGGCGTGAATCTTTTATTTTATAAAGTAAATAAAGGGTCATCGTACAGTAGCGGATTTGTAGTCTTAGGCGCCAGCCCATGTAGTAAATTCAAGCCGCTACTTTCTCATAGTCCATCATATGTATTGTTATCATCAGTGAATTTTGTCACTATTGGCTGCCCCTAATATGTGGCCACCATAGGCCCAGGCCTATTGGGCCTTAGGGGAAATTCGCCACTGTCAACGTATCTCGTTCGAGCGAAGTATCTATTTATGATTAAAGAAGTCATGCCTATAGTAGCCAAGGTAATAGCGTCGATTCAAGTTTGTTTGTTATAAGACCTTATCTTTTCTTTTTTAATCAAATTATACAATAATATCTTTTATTTCATTTAAATCTACATAATAAAACGCAAGCGTAGTATCAACCTTCTTACCTATTGTTGGAATCTGGATTTTAACTGCGTCGGATCATCTTTGAACCTATTGGATGACGCTTTTGCGATAAAATCTAAAAATAGTATCAATCAAAAATTAATAGATTTTTCGAATATTGAGTTAATTTTAGTCCTTCTTTGTAAACAGGGTCAAAGAAAAGGTGAAACCTTGAAGGAGGCAATGTATTCTATTGGAGAAAAACTCAGCGTTACGGTAAAAATGATTACAATTTTCGATTGCGTTTTTTTTTATGCGAAAAGCTGTCAAACGAGCTGACGGTTCACCTGATGTTAAGTGAATACCGCCGCCCATGAACATCTGCCACACCCGAGGGTTACAGAGGCGTAGACAACCTTTTGAAAATTGGGCTCCGGCTACCTCACTCACCAGACGAAACGCGAAAGTATTTGTCATACTTTCACTTTACCCCGAACTTCTGTGAGGTCGTGGTACTTACCTGGACGGGCCTGCCCATTCGTGCAATAGCCGAGCCTGCTGCGTGGCCCTACCACCGTGGTTGATATTCTTATACTATTTTATTTGATATTTTATTGCCAGTAAAGATACATTTTAAATTGTGATGTAAGATTTTATGATGATAGGACAGTAGTATTAAATAATATAATATATGTGTGTAAGATACCATTTTAAAGTACTTGAGCTCGAGCTTAAACTTTTTAGACTTATATTATTTAGAATGAGTTATAATTTATATAGTTGTGTTTTTTTATTTTTACTTAAATAACAATAACTTAAAGTTTAAGTAAACATAATTCATTTATATATTTAAGCTCATACAATTGCGTGATAATAAATAACGTAGAAATACAAGTCCTTTTGTTAACCTATTAGATATTTGATTGGATGGGACTGACATGTGCATGCTTAAAGTTCATTAAAAGCCCCTAAATAAAGGGAAAAAACTATTTTAATGAAAAAATGGCATCATTTGTATCAAGCTCATCCTATATTGTCTTTGTTAATTGCACAAGCCAGCCTTACAGAAACTGTGGCATGGTTCTAGAACAGCAAACTACTGTAACTGTAAAAAGTGCCGAATAATTGTTGATCGTATACTGACTGTGGTAGGACCATGCAACAGTATTCACTGTTGCACGAATGGGCAGGTCCTTCCGGGTAAGTACCACGACCCCACAGAAGACCGGCTTAATTAAAGTGTTACACTTCTGCGTTTCGTCTGGTGAGTGAGGTAGGCAAGGCGCACTTTATTTAAAGGTGGCAACGCATTTGCAACTCTACGGGTGTTGCAAATTTCCATGGGCGGCGGTTACCACTTAACATCAGGTGAACCGCCAGCTCGTTTGCTACTTTCTCATATTAAAAAAAACTTTCAGACTTGCCCGAGGAACGCTAAAGTGAAAATGCGTTCTACGTTCGAGACGTCGCCGTATATGGAGGCGATCACCGATTACGTCATCGGCTGGCTGTCCGAGAACGAGGCACTACTGCCGGTGTATCTGCAGCCGTGGCACCAGTCGGAGCTCTCGCGGGACATCGGTTCGAATCCGGCGTTCAAACGGCGCAAACGCAGCATCATAAGGATGCTGAACGCGATTTATTGATCCATTCGTGTACTGTGTTTCTTTTATGCTATTAAATATTCCGTGGCAATTAAATTTTGATTTTCAATGATTTTTATATATATTCAAATTACGCTAGATAATTCTCGGTCATCATCATCGTCTCGGATAAGGAGTACAAATTAATATTTCTTGAAACAAAATTTTTGGTCGTGTATTTGTTCAGTACAATTTTCTTAAAAAAGAGCTTAAAAATTACAAAAAGAGCTGTGCGTATTAACGTATTATGACTTATATTTTTTTAAATATAAAATATTTTTCTTTCAATGTATTACATCTTTTTATATTATTCCATAATTAATTTAATAATATTTATCCCATTATTTAAATGTTGGTGACGTTCAAATATTTTTCAAAACCTTTCTAACCAATGCATGATTAAAACCCCATTTTAATGGTAAACTATTATAACTAGGTACTATTATAACTAGACGAGAGTGTAAAGCGCAAAAAAAATGATTTTATATACATATAAATCTATACTTAATATATTGAGAGGCGATTTTTTTGTTCGGTTATAGTTCGAAAATAACTGAACCGATCGGAATAGTACCATTAGGTGCAGCGTGTTTTTCGGAAAAGGTTTTAGTACAAATGATATGTTGGTAATTACTTATCCTGAACCTATATTTTTTTGACGTAAAGATGTATGAGTCAGTGAAGCGGGCAGTAGTATTATATTAAATTATATTATATTAAATCGGACAGCTAGTGTTATATTAAAATATCATTGGTAACGATGCCATAAAAATAATATCTGTTTTCAGGCGACACGACATCTAGCTGTGTATATTATAATTTAAGCTTTGTTGAATGACATTTCACATGTCATTGCAGACATTTATTGACTTACTCATTACTTTACAAAAACTTTACAAGTTGTAATGGCACAACCGGAACCATATAAACCTCTAATTTTGAACGATTTGCTTATACAAAACGTTAACACATGGGGTAATGTTCAATACAACATCCCATTGAGGTTGTCCAACAATGAGACGCGTACTGGAAGCAGCATCGCACACCGCCATATACCAGATATACCGCATAATTTCGATTGCGTAAGTATTTTCTTGTGATTTCTAAAAAAAAAAATCTTTGTAATAACAGCACTATGTTTTGAAAGCCTCCTTGTTTAAGTTATACGCATCGTTTTAAAAAAATAGATTATACAGTACTTAATATGTAGTATTATCTATATCAACATCATCATTGCGTGCCATCTAAGTCTAAAGGCAAGGTAAGGCGCTCACCTGTAGTCTGGACAGTTCTATACAGGGCTATTTTTGATATACAGTCACCATCCAGTACAGTTGTATAGCATACTTCCGAAAAAACATTATCAACCAATGTTGTGAGAAATCTAAACTCTGGAAATGTTAAATTAAATTTTGCTTTTGTATTACATCCCAATCTAGAATCGCGAATGTTTTCGTTTTTTTTTATTATACTTCTTAAAAGTTAAATGACTGTTCATTGCCTACATTAAATTATAGATAAGAATTATTTTCTCAATCATTTGGTGTTCTTATGTCTCTTTACATAATAATTACACGTTTACCCCGAACCTATAGACCACAGAAGTCAATCTAATATATTTAATATTTTATACCTTAATTTTTTAGAAAATCCATGATGCTCTGCCGGAGCGCCTCACGGGGCGGGATATGGTTGTTGAGAAAGAGTCCTATAAGACCACCTCAGGAGAATATTGCGTTAAACCAAACCCCAACAAAGCTATGGAGCGATCAGACCGAGCCAGTAATTGTAAAAAAGTTATTTACCTTACCGGCGTTGAGAAAAAAGTATGTCATATTTTTTTATTTTTCCACTATCCTTATAAGGTAGTTGTTGGAATGACGACTGTCAATTTTAAAGAATCTGGAATTATCTTTTGTAATTAAAAAATCAGCAATGTCATATTAGTAACCATATTTGAAGACTAGGAATACGTTTATGATGAATTTTATTTTTAGTGCTAGTCTTTGCACACTAAATGCCACTAAAAATGTGTATTTTAATATTTTTATAGATAAGTGGACAAAACTTTCAAAGGTTCGCGATTAGATCCTGCGTCTTTTGGGTAACGCTCGCTTTGTCCATTTATCTACAAAAAATCACATGAGGAATACAGTTAATAACATGAGTTCATTATAATATCTGTAACAGGTTGTGAATCGTCTCTTAGATCGAATCTTTTTTGATCATTCTAAGTTATACTTGGGACATACATTGCCTTAATTATTGTACATCGAACATTATTTGTCATACAGCTGCAAGGAAAGAATATTACACAGCCCACCATGATTTCAGAGATGAAGGATAGATACAGGGGTGTTGCCAAGTCGCCCTTAGCACCGCCGGAAATCGATGTAAAAGCCCCTGACCCGGAATATATTTTTGACGTAAGTTTTAATTTTGATGATAGGAGGTACCAATTAGACTTCAGTGTCGATTATGAGTTCATAATTGAACAACACTGAAGTTAACTAGTGAGCTAGTAAGTTTAATTTGAGACTTCCACAAAGTACGTTTTATCAGAAACTGTTCTCTAAAAAATGTGTGAATTGTGGGTGTTAAAAAATAATGGTATCCACCATTAAATAAATAAAAAATCTGGATACAAAAAATAATCAAATAAAATCAAAAAAATAAAATCTAGATATTCACTATTGCTTTTTTCATTCTATCTATACGGTTTTAGGTGGTAGCATCTGGCAGGAACGAAGCGCCTGTGATCCCCGAAAGCGCTCCGGATTTCGTAGACTCCTCGACACATACGTTTCCACTTACAGAGCATACCAAAGGCCATTCACATTGGACGAACAGTATAATATTGGCGCGAAAGATCACATTACTTTCTACTCGGAATCTAATACCCCAAAGGTTTGTGATGCGAACTTTGGAAATAGGTCAACATTATACATATTAAGTACACGTGAAAAATATTGTTCAACAAGTAAATTGTAATTCTGTTCATCTATGAATGCTACAAAGTGTTAATTTATGTATCCTTTATTTTCCTAAATAACAAAAAGTATTTAGGAAAAAATTAAAGGATTAATCATTAATTTGTTTTGTGCCAGTTTGATCTTTTCTTTGGCTGGTAAGATTTTGATTAATAAAAATTAACTTCCATCAAAAAAGTTCAATTGTAATTCGAATTGTCTTTTACGTTCTTTCAAAGCGTTAAAATAATTATCGTACTTTACATGTCATTAGGTTCGTGGATTTGGTCCGAAACATAAAGAGATATGGATGCCACTGAAAGCCAAAGTACACAGAGGTGTTTACGACAGAATTCACGTAAAGAAGGAATACAAAGAGGTCGCGTCTTGTCACAACCCAGTCAACAACCTGAAAGGGTAAAATTAACACCATAATAGTTTCGTTTCACAGCAGCAATCTTTGTTGCTGCGCGAATGGACAGTCTCGTCCGGGCAAGTACCATAACCTCACAGAAGACCGGCGTGAATTGGAAGTTATTATACTTCTGTGTTTCGTCTGGTGATAGAGGAAACTGACCGACCCACATTATTAAAAGGTCAACGCACCTGCAGCACTACGGTCTAAGCTTAAACTGAATTCTCACTCCCTGTGTTCACTTCAATTAGTCTTGTTTTAAACGCATTCCTTGTTACGCAGAGTTTTCGAGTCGGAAACGAAGAAGCAATATAAGCAGCCGTTCGCGGAATCGCCACTGGCGTCCTGGAGCCACGGGGAGGAGTTCTACCTCGCGCCCTTCCCCCCGAACCCCTACCAGACCAACATCGCCCCCTTCATGTACTGCAGCGATTACTGCCACATTTCGCAGGGCACCAGACCTTGCACTGTCATTGACCAGCTAACTCACGACATGAGACCCCATAGGACGTGCAAGCAACGATATGTCGTGTCTAATGAGTGATATTATTCTGCTTCGTGATTACATTTTGATAAACCTGGCATTATAACAATTGATAAAACTTCTTTCTTAATTTTATTTTATGTATCTTTATATATTATACTAAGTTGTCAAATTGTCAGAATACAGACAAAAATTTGCTTTAAAGCATGGTTAATACCATATTAAAGAAAAATCATAACCAAAAATTTCTACCGTTCTGATTTATTTATATATTTCTGTTTAATTAACAAATCGCTTAATAGATTTAGAAAGGCTTTACTAGTTGCGTCATGCTACGGTGACTTAATCGTAGTAATAAACTTCGACGAAACTATTTCTGTGACGGTACATCGTGTTTCACCAATGGTACGGTGGCCTGTAACATCACAACTCATGTTGAGTTAGTACAACTTTGTAACGGGCGTAATCGGCTTTGTTCGTCGCGCAAAATCTAGAAGGAGAGAGAAGTTAGGGAGTAGAAATGCGGTGGTGATGTTATATTTTGTATAATAATTCACCGTCACCACAAACAAAGGTGACAAAGATCTTTGGCCGTGGTACAACCATTTGTTGTCGCTGTATGTCTTCCTTCGGCTCATTCGGGGAAATACCACAATCTAAATAGAAGATTTAAAGTTGGCAAGACATGTGACTCCACAGCAGTTTTAGATAACTTAGCTTGCGTGATGCGCTACCTCCTCACGAGAAACTTGTCTTTTACGTCTTAAAATTAGCAAAAACTTTGTTGCATCTTATTTTTTATATAAAAGGATAATTATTACTTTTAAACACAAGGGGAATTAGAGAGGGCTATGTAAATTTAACATACAAGAAGTTATTTTTCAATTATGATGCCGTCTTCAAACGCATAATTTATAAAAGAGATAAAGAGTAAAGAATTTACGACAGTCCTTGCAAATTAATTGGGGCACAAGTCAATTGTTATTAAATCTACGTGTAATATCTCATTTTAAATATAAAACAAAAATTTTGTTTACCTTTGGCTTGGAAACAAAGCAGCTTGAGCAGTCGGGAGATGCGCATTCACATTTAGTCGGTTTCTTTCTCTTCAATCAGAAATTTGTTAGTTAGAAACTAGAATACAAACAAACTAAAATTAAATGAATAAACTTACATGTTTCCGTTTACCGCTAACATAGTAGACGCAGTCAGTAGGCGAACCATTAGTGGCCTGAAAACCAATGAGATGTTTCATTTTAGTTCATTATAGATGACGCAGTCCTCATACTGCGCGGCGTTAAAAATTGTTCCGTTTTACATTGAATGGCATATATGTGAATGTGACATATGCTATAGAACTCTTAATATCTATTAAGATAGCAGTCAATAGAACTGCAATCTAATTACACCAATTGGTGTAACTTCAGTAGCTCAGTTTCGGTGCGCTAGTGTCATCTACCTCCTATTTGTATATAATATCATTGCTGAAAAAGTGTACATAGCAATAAATTTTCGCAATATATAATAATTTCATGAAAACTATTGTTTATTGATTATGAATTTCAACGTCATCAACTCTTAGAGAAAGGGAAGTGGTTGCCCTGATGTTAACTGATTATTGCTGCACATGGACATCGATAACATAAATGGCGTTGCATATTCGATGAAAACCCTAATGCACAATACCTGAGCACATGTACACGGGCAGGCGTCCCCTTCTTTAGGTAATGCCATAAGAAACTAATTTTTCTTCTTTTCAAATCTATTTTGTATCTCCTTCTTCATTGTGGGATTATTCTGTAACGTGAATATTTAATTAATATCATGTGTTAGTAAAAAATGGTACTTAACGTTGGTTTTATAAGTTTACTTACCCCAGGGCATGAAAGATTTGGACATTTGGTATTTTTGGATTCGTCGACGCATTTACGATTCTGTAAGCAAAGTGTTGTTTATATGTGTATTATCGATAGTAATTAATTAATGTTGCAAAGCAACCAACTTCACGGCGGTACTTAAGTGCACACACATTTAATTTACTTTCCTTAACAAAACTTAAATTGTTTTTGATTTACTGTTAATGTCAGTCTTTATAAAGTTCAGTTATGGAATTTAGTTAATATTATTAATTTACCATTTGGCCAAAGATGACACTGAAGTAAAAAACATCCTATGCGCCAAAACTAATAGTTTCTTTTTTAAATTTAGTTTAACAGATAGCCTTGGGATAATCAGCTCCTATACAAGGAATAGGGCTGTTCTTACCTCACTTTGAGTCGTCATCAAGTAATAAAATTAATCTAATCCAAATGTAGGATAATAGTTGAATCAACCACTTGATTATTTTTAAAATATATTCATTAACACACAGTGAAGAAAAAATAAGAGTTATCGTCTAAAACTCATTGGTATTTTTAGCTCGTTTTTTTAATTCCTCGAAAATAAACTAGAAGAGAGATTAGAGGAACCTAATTGCGAAACGGTGGTAGATTAAAAAAAATACTATCGATAGATGAAATGTATAATGTTTCTTGTGTCGACGACTAAATGATTTTGATTTTTTTCGCCTAATCGGTCCACATGTCGTCGTTTGCATACGTACGGGCGAGCAACGATATTGGGCGGGGATCGGCGACGTCCTCCTGCGGGGGGGCAAGCATGGCGGGTTGTGGAAGCAACGCGCCGGTGAGCTACAGGGGGCACTCGCCCTTGGCGGCCAGAAGCACGGAGTCAGGTAAGGGAAACACGACGACGGCGGCTGGCAACGCGGCACGTGGTGGCAAGACCTAGCCGCCTGCGGCTGGAGGCGTGGAATTAGAATGTACACGATTTTTTAGAATTCCGTACACAAAGGGTAAAACGGGACGCTATTACTAAGACTCCGCTGTCCGCCTGTCTGTCTGTATCTCTGTCTGTATGTCCATGTGTCACCAGGCTGTATCTCATGAACCGTGATAGTTACAGTTGAAATTTTCACCGACGATTTCTCTGCTGCCGCTATAACAACAAATACTAAAACAAAGAATAAAATAAGAATAATATTACTAGGGCTCCCATAGACATGATGTTTTTGCAACAGACATGATGTTTTTGCAGTTCTTAAAGATAATGGTACCCCCGAAATATTAATTCATAAAGCTCCAAAAATGCAATATTAAAATATCTGTATTAAAACGTATAATATGTAACATACATAATAACAGCACATAAATATACAAACTTACATAAATATACTATCTAACTATACACAATATTTGAACTTATTTCAATCCATTGTGTTTTAAAGTAATAAATAAATGTGTGAAATACCCTCATATTTTCTAACAACAATGATTATAATCATGGATTTATTGTTACGGCATTACAGCTTGTTAAGAGATCCAGCTTATTTAAATAAGCGTCTGCATTAACTTGAATTCCACCGGAACGTAATGGTTCAGACAATAGAGTCTGAGTAGATTTCAGTTACTTGTGCTCTCCAGTCCATTGCACTATCCATGATCAGGCCTAGGTTCTTGTTAGTGTTAGAGAAATTAATTATTTTTGTACTGGATTTCAAAAATACGTCATGCACACAGGTTACGAGTGTTCCAATAAAGATGGACGTAACTTTCTTCAATTCTGGTACATCTATTTCGTCTGATACATTTCATTTAATGAAATTAATAAGAATACCTTTTTCAAAACGCAACTGGATCGTGGGGTAATTTCAATCTGTAATTAACAATTCACCCTTATTTCATATGCTACGAAATATAAAAATATATAAAAGATATATATTCTTCTAGCTGTAAATATGAAAAAATATTTAGGTGTACTTACGGGGGAAGGTTCAAATGTTTGTTTCCGCTTCAATGATATCTACAAGACAATATAAAGATTTTTACATTATTGACGACAAGCATAAACTATTTAATGACTTTATGCACTTTAAGGGTACTGATTAGTCGACTCGTGGAATACTTTCACACTGTAACGTGATCGGTCACTAATAATAATATAATAATGTGCAAATAAGTATTTATCAATAAAAGGTATATTTTGAGCAATAAGGGTAAAATTCAAGTTATATCACCATCATTCATTTAAATAAATTGTCAATAGATGTCATTTTCTACATATTTTACAAGATATTTTTAAGCGCCTTTTTTATAAAAATATTATCCATTTTTTGTCAATAGCGGCAAATATAGCCTTGATAATGGAGCTTGAATCATTAAATTAGATGAAGAATAATTATCGTATAAAAGTAGATTTTGGTGAAATATATCTAAATATATGACTCCGTGGCGCAGTCGCCAAGGTATAGGCTTCGGCGTCGGGGGTCGTGGGTTCGATTCCCACACGGGACAACTATTTGTGTGACCCACAGATAGTTGTTCCGCATCTGGGTGTTTGTCCGTGTGAAATTTATGTTTGTAAAACGTCCTTACAACACAGGATAATGTTATCTTAAAGTAAGGGCAATGTTTAAAAAAATATACGTGTACTTTTTATGGAAGAAGTTGCTAAACGAACCGACCGTTCACGTCATGTTAAGCTATTACCAACGCCCGTGGACACAATAACACCCATAAATAATTTTTTGAATGTTGAAAGTTGAATTGCAAATCTGTTATTTGTACCCTGTTTCTTTACTCACCAGATGAAATGAAAAAGTAAAAGACTACTTCTAAAATACTTCTTCTAATATTTCATACAACTTTAACATACTTACCTCTACTAATACTTCAAACATTACAGCGGTCTTCTGTTCGCGGTTCAGAATGCAACAGCATGGTTGTATTAAACTAAAATTTATTGTTTGATATAGTTTAACAATTAAAACGTACCTTCATGCCAAATCGAGTATTGTTGTCCATTAGACATCTTGATACTGAGCAAGGCGTTGGCTGCCGAAAGGTATAACGTTTGTGCAATTAATAAAAATATATAATATTCTTAAAAAAATGATGTAAAGTAGCTCTTACCTTGCATTTTGGATTTTGGATATATTTTATGCAGGAAAAATTCTAAAGAAAAACAATATTAGTGAGTTATTAACGTTTTGTTATTATATATCACAAAAGAAGAAACTGAAATAGCTTACGGAGTTTGCGCAAGGTATATTGTCCTAAAACAATAAAAAATCCTATTATATAACGTATAAAAAATATACATTTAAAATATTTTATAGATATGATTTTAAAATTATTTTAATAGTTCATCATAATCACCATCATTATTTCACCCTGTTAGAGTCCACTGCTGAACATAGGCCTTTTTTATGTGAAAAGTTGCCAAGCGAGCAGACGGTTCACCTGATGTTAAGTGAATACCGCCGCCCATGGTCATCCGCTACACTCGAGGGTTGCAGATGCGTTGACAAATTTTTGAAAATTGGGCTCCGGCTACCTCACTCACCAGACAAAACGCGAAAGTATTATACTTCCACTTTACGCCGGTCTTCTGTGAGGTCGTGGTACTTACCCGGACAAGCCTGCCCATTCGTGCAACAGCCGAGGCTGCTGCGTGGCCCTACCACCGTTAAACAGACCTACCACAAAGACTGCCACGAAGCACGATCCTGAGCCACCTGCATCCATCGACTTCCCGAATTCAATAGATATGATTTAAATTTTTGTGTTTTTATGCAGTTAAATAAATTTATTTGCACATTACATTTTTCAGAAATATCTTTTCATGAAGACAAATCAAAAATACTGTGCAATGAGGATATTTTATATACATTAATTTCATATGGACAACACGAGTCATACGAGTACTCACTCAGTGGGATTGAAGCTATAACCAGTGACGTCGAGGCTAATACATTAGCAATTGCTCCTAACAAGTTTTCAAATTAAATATTTTAGCCGGTGAAACAAACCTGTGCTTTAATCCCCGTACGAGTCTAGAGTATTGTCGTTGAACTAAATCAAGAGATATTATACACGTGTGCCATATTTCACGTCTTCTAAATGTATTTTAACTGATCAGTTATAAAAATAAAAAAATATGATGACATTAAATTGAAATTATTAAATATATACGTACACATGGAGGTCCGCAGGATGTGCACCATGAACAAAAAGGATCAGCACAGCATCCAATGCACTAAAAATACAAAAAAAAAAAATGATTCGTACGTCAATTGGGAAAAATAATATTTTATGAAATAAGAATTCTTTCATAAATACGAAGATCACCTGACAACTTTGGCTGTTAGTGAGGTGATCACATAAATTACGCACACTATGCAGTAAACTATAATTTTAATAGAACAAGAAGTGTCAAGAAAGTAAATATTCTAACATGCATAATTATAAATATGGTACCCATTTAAAAACGGAGGGACTACGAACGCCCCACTCGTAACTTCATTCGGATTAAGTTAAAAAAATGTAGTAAAACAAACGACTACTCATTAACTACTGTTATGAACATTTTAAATATGCTTCGAAATTACAGTAAAGTGATATTTCATTACAACAAGATTATTATATTATTAACTTGATTTAAATGACAATAATTTTTATCAAGCAAATCACAAAAAATTGACTATTACCTTTAATGATGGAGGCAGATCTGTGTTACTCTAAAAATTAAAAAAATATACCAAGTATTATGCATCTGTAAGCTGTATTTACGAGTAAGTTTATGAAATAAAAGTGCGTATATGAAAGGAAAGGTTTCGAGTTAATAAATCGCCAGGACATTTTGTCAGCTTAAAATAAAATAAAAAAAAAACATTTTTATGACTTGTAATTAATTTGGATTGCTCGGACTGTTTTAATTTCCTTATAAGCAAATATGAATCTTTACATTTATGTTAAATTTTCATACATTTTTCGTAAAAAGTCCTTAAAATCTTAGAAAGCCTGTATTTTGACTAGGAAAGTAAAAATTTATTTAACCTTGTGCTTACAGCATCCTGTCTTGCAGCAAATTTGGATAATAGCTGTTTGTGGGAACGCTGGCTCTTCATTTTCTTTTGGCACCTTTTCTGTCAGCTTCGAATCAACGATGGTAATGTTAGATAATCCAAACAAATTGTGCTCCTTGTCCAACCGTAGAATAGTTGACAGGCATTTCTCACCGAAGCTGACGCACCCTTTCAAATTGTCCTCAGAACCGCTACTGTTGGTGTCACTAAACGTCATACTTGGTGATCCAGTTGGCGATCTAAAATCATATAAGTGCCATGGTATTGTAATTGTAGTGACATGTAAACCTTTATCATCTTTCTATTTATTCATATTGAAATCGGACGATAGAGTACCTTATCTGTCTCCAGAGTAATCATCAAAACGGTGTTCTTTTGCTCCTTACCTTCGCTCCTGTTAAGGCGTTAACTATTCTGGAACGATACCAGACCTGTATTTTGGAACTCATTACTTTTGACCTGACGATTCAATCCACTAACCTAGAATCTGGAGAGCCGCATTTTCTTTCTGTTAGCCATTTCATTTTTGTCAATTTCAACAATTTTGGAGTGTCTGTGTCCGTGCAGTATTGGTCTGTGTCAGAAATCTCGCTGTTTTCCACAGTCGTCGACGAAGGCTAAACAAATAACAAAGTCGTAAACTTAAATAAATATCCCAATGCATGTAATCATATTAACCACTCACGTAAGCTGTAGAGCCATCGGTATCTCTACAACAAATATTTTTATTTGATTCTTGAAGTTCACGAATCATTTCGGACCTTTCAATTCGCTTTGGTTCATCTTCCAATACCTGTGAATGTAATATTTGAAAAATTTAATTTAGGCAAATACTCTGGAATTGAATCTGTCTGTCTAAAAACGTTTTCAAATCTCTTTAATCCAATAAGTAACTAGTAGGTACGTTACTGATATAGAAGGTGGAATAAAAATGCGCAGCAAAGGAGTAGGCAGGTCCTTTATACTGGTTTTAAAATCCCTAACAAGACAAATGTTCCAAGGATGCAGTAGTTTTTGTTCGATGGTATAATATATACATGGTTACTATTTATTCTTTTTCCTTGTGAAGTTCTTCTGCACAGTCAATATATCAGCAGTATCTACAATATAGGCTCTCTTACATTGAAACACTAATCATGAACTAAAACTAAACATGACTATTACCGCTTTAACAATGTTGTACGTAGGATAATTAGCAATCGGACAATCCAATAAAACTGTCATACAAAAATTTATATTTTTAAAACTTTAAAATCGTATTATTTTATATGATAAATTGCTGATCGAGCAGGCGGTTAACTTGTATTAAAGTGTTCGACAGCGCCCTGAGCATCTACAATACCTGAGACTGAGATGCGTTTTCAACCTTTAGGTTGCACGTCTAAAGCAAACTAAAGTCGACCCGAGTTACTTTATTCACCAGGTGAAGTACGACAGTATAATTACTTCCATTTTATGACGGATTGACGGATTCGTGTAGCTGCAGAAATGCTGCGTAGCCCTAACACAGTTAAGATCGATTAATATACGTTATGTACCATCATAATTACCACTTTGTACATATATATTATTATTTGGTTTGAAATAAAATTTTAGCACTGTAGACAACAGCATTGAACTTACGCCTAATCCACCTCTTCCCATCCTATTACGTAAATTTTCTACGTAATAGGATGGGGTTTCTGAGATTTCTGGTTACACCAAATATGTGTGTTTAAGATACACTCTTTAAGTTTAAACAGGTTTCATAAAAAAATACGTACTTCTTCAATTAGTTCTTGGGACGGGCGGCTGTAGCAGCGGCCGACGAATTTTTCAATATCACTGCTTGGCGGGATTTTGTTCAGCTGGCACATGTATGTGTAGAACACATTTTGGTCGGAGGCTCTACGTGTCAACATCATGCCAACGTCAAGTTCTTTGATGGAATCTCTGTCTTCTTGGGACGCAGCACTATCGGAGTTTTTGTCATTCATAATTATGTTTCTTATATTCTATTTTCTAGGGAGAAATGTAATCCTAACGTAGGGGACATCTTTTCGTTTGAGTTCTGCACTGGAAATATACAAGAATTTCTTTTAAAATTGGACAGTCACATTTTGGTTGTGGTTTTGATACTTGCGAAAAATTAAAAATGGAGTTGTCATTAATATTTTTAAAAGTCTCATTGTTTTGAAGTTAATATTGATAGAACATTTCTGAAAATATACTAACCTCTTTGGACCGCAACTATGCGGTCGGTGAAAGTGTATATATTTTTTCTAATATAAGTTAGAACACTTAAAATAGTTAAATCTATTAATCGTGTCGACTTGAATCGGAACATGAAAAATTTGGAAGTTTAATTAAATCGCAAACATAATGTCGTCACGGCATTTGAATTTACGCATAAATGTATGGATGTACCCATAACTATTTAGGTCCATACACGTACCGTATATTATTCAGTATACACAAAGTAAAAAGCTTATACCTACATATAGGTATATAGTAATACATTCCATGACTGGTTACTAAGCTACATGCTTCGAGAGGCGGGTCGTGGCTTCGATTCTCAACTGCAATATTTTTTTGTATAATCCGTAATTTAATTAGGTTCAGAGTGTTTGACTCGAGTTTGTAAACAGCACCTCTACTAACTAACACTACTATTACCGAATAATGTTATCAATCAGATGGTTGTATTATCATTGATTTTTAAAAAAAATAAATGATTATGAAATGTAAATGCCGTAGTTACAACACTCAAAAGTTAACTCTACTTTGGCGGAAAATAGTCATATCGTTCGTAGCGTATATTTTCACTCCGGCTGATATCTGTTTGAAATTAAATTCTTGCAAATTAAGTATAGAAAATATATAAATGGCATCCAATAAATTGTGGTCGTTTAAGATATGAGACCGCTACGTCCAAGTGATGTGAATGACATCAGATCGGACAAAAAGCAAGTACCTATAACAATGGAATAACAATAAAAAAGAGATTTTCACGAAGATTAGACGGCCACGGTTCGTTTGGTCCGCGTGGAATCGGATGCGCCATTTTTTGCACGTCTATCGGTCGATCTGTGAAAATGTATCAAAATTAAAAGTGCCTTTTTTAACCGATGAAGTAAAAGGTTCATAAGAAGTTGAATAATAAATTGCGAGACGGTTGTATTATGATAGGGTACAGTCGCCAACGTTAATAGTTATGATCAGGTAGAATAAACAGACACTAATTGTAGTGTGCCGGCGAGATCCGCTCCAATTATATGGGGAGTTTTAAATACCATATGCCTGTTTAAGTTGCTGACTTAAACTCACAGCAGTAATATTATTGTTGATGACTTGATGCCGCAGTTGCTAAGTCATTTTCTTCGGCGCCAGGGTCGTGGGTTCGATTCTCACGCAAAAAAATATTTTTGTGACCATTTTCCATTTAAAAAAAAAAAACTTTGTCGATACTATTAACGCCCATGATGTGTCGATCTTACGAAAGTGGGATAAAGGCAAGAGAAAGAAGGCAAACCATTTGGATTTTTATTGTTCATTGTGCCCTTAATTTATATTGTGCCCTTAATTCGCTAATGATTAATTTTTCCTCTGTCCATTAATAATGACTTCTTTAATTAATCACTGGCCATATAATGTCTCGATCAATCACTCTTTGTTACAACTTATGCATATGCCAAAAAACTGCGTGCTGCCGTGTCCTTAACCACGTATTTAACTCCAATATAACAATGTAATTCAGTGATAGTATTATAGTTCCATCACAGTTAACTTTCATAGTAGTTTCGCACGAGACGATACTGAAATGCTCGTAAATACCTGAATTAATCAAACGCAACATTTTAGAAGAGGTGATTCACATTAGCTCAGAGATAATGAACATTTCGTGGCGAATAGATATATCAACCATATATCGGTTTTGATAACCCCAAATTTAGCAAATGGAAGTAATTGATCAATTTTTGAAGTTGTACTTCTTTTGGCGCGTTTAGAAAAAAATATGAGAGTAAAGCGACATCGCTTTGTAACCAAATTCAACATGGCACGGCAACTAATAACAACTTTTTGATATTTACTTACAATTCAAAATTATTTAACCAAATCTAAATCAATTGCATTTAAGTCTTTTTCACAGAAAAAGTTTACTGGCACAGGGCATATTTTTTTAAATATTTCATTTATTAATTCTTTAATATTATTCATATTTTCCTATTTTTTTCACTTTACTATCGTATTATTTAAATTTTTCGGGCCATGAAATGTTTAGCAATAATTGTGTATTATACAATATTATTACAATATTAATATTTGTATAAACCATAATCACATATATTTATGTGATTAAGGTTTAACTGGTATTCGCTATTGGGCATAGTACATGAGCGAATTGGGAGAGAAGACAACGTTATGAAGTGTATTTTTAGCGATTGCTAAGGCGTAAAAGAAACTCGTATACTATTATAATATTTTCATATAACCAAAATTCACTTATCGTTTAATAATGATCAAGATTTTTATTTGCTCGTTGCTTAAGTGCGTTTCGTCATTTATCAAAATAAATATTGAAAATTGACCTGACATGTTTATGACGCCTGACTCATCTTTGTCAGAGTAAAGCCTTTGTGCTGCATCACTTTTGTCGCGAGCCCCGACGCCGGCACACTGTACAAAATGAACGCGTGAATATTTTTTTAAATTTATTTTTTCCCCCACATTGAAGATGTTTCCTTACTAAGTAATTGTGAAGTTATTAGTAAAAATAAAAAAATGAACGCGCACACTATATTATTGTGGATCCTGTTTATTTTGTGGACGGTTGACGCACAATTCGGAAGTAAGTGTTCGAAAATTAAATTGTGATTGTACCCATTAAATGGATACCATTTATATTAAATTAAATTTACATACATCTGTGCAAAAATTTTTAAAGCTAACATATTTACTATATATATCTTTGTAATTAAAATACTAAAAAATTTAAAGAATTAAATAGTAAAGTAACGAAACAAAGATTTTTATTAAAGAATCTTGTTTTGTAATTGAACTTAGACCGCAATATTAGAGCAAGCAGTAATCAATTATAGGAACTAGCCACCAAAACGTCATTAACATGCATCGGGAGTTAATAATTGCCGATGATACAATGTGGTGGCCTCGGAGGGAGACTGATAATATCTCGTCTCAAGGTCAATAGAAATTATTATGATCTAATTACAACATTAATGACAATAAATGTTAGTATCGCTGATATAAGCCACATATCGCATAAAATTTTTTTAACGACTGTAATTTAATCTGAAAACTTACAAATATGCACATACATATTATGTTAAAGAGATAAATGATAACTTATTAATAGAATATTGACCCTCTACGAAATAGTATCGTCGAATAAATTAATACTCATTTAGTTTGTTATCACAAGATTAAAAAGAAAAGAGCTTACTCGAATTTCCAAAATTTCGAAATCTTAATTGTATCAAGCTTTTGTTTTTTCTTTCAGCTGTGTCTATAAGCTTGGATATGGGCCGCACTGAAGATGATCCATTAATTTTCAAAGTAAGCCAGCGACTTTGTGGATTAAGTTATTGCCGTAAAGTTGGATGTCAAGCGCTTAATAAATAGTTTACTTTCAGGGACGATGTCCACCGAATACTTCATGTGTTCCAATCAGTTCCTGTCCCTTAATAGAGGACTTATTGGATTTTTCGTGTTTCTCCTCTGACAAGTAAGATTGGTGTTGTGAATTAAGTCTTTTATCAATATTTTTTTTTTCAAAAACTTATTTTCTTAACAAGGTTTAAACTTTAAACGTTGGTCAAAAGCTTTCTTTTGCTACGATGCACGTTCTCACACGTTCTGCTACGTTCTATTTGCACATTAGTTTCATCATTTAAAGTTCTCTTAATAGTCGGACAAGTTTTATTATAATTCGTTAAATTAATGAAATAATTGTACCTATATTCTTTCATTAATTTCACAAAAAAAGAAAACATTTTATGGATTTTATCACGGTAACATTTATAGTTAATTTCATACAGATAGATGAGAATTGTTTTTATTTTTTCGTCAGCACTGTACAATTTTATAATTTGTATTACACCCATAAGATTTTAAGCTAGAAGATGTACTATATATACTATAGTTCGAAACTGGATTGAGAACAGTACATTTCCAAATATTAAGCATTATGAATCCTTTTATCACGAAACAATATTTTCGTAAATATAGCTCGAAAAGTACTTCAATATCTTATTATATGTATAAATTTTAATACTTAATTGAATATCTGAAGAAAAAATATATTGAGATACTTTACCAATTTTTAGCCATTTTTATTCAAGTAAATATGGCTATTTTTTAGATACTTCCACCGTCTGAACGAGCTGACCTGCGGCAATAATAACGACGAAGACTACGTGTGCTGCCCATCCTGCGATTGTGCCCGAGTGTACCAGGAGGGCACGGAAGAATGCGGTCGTAGTATGGTCCGGGGAAAAGGTTACAAGGGAATCGGATTGCACCCGTGGGTCGCAAGGATTGGTTTCACTAGTGAGTTTTGTTATTACTTCTTAGGTGGTACCACTAAAAAATATCGGATTTTGTAGTAAGATCTTTATCAATAAGAGCCGTGATAGCTCAGTGTCCGGGCGCTCGCCTTTAATTCAATATACTCGAGCAACCCGAGTTCGATCCCCGGTGCCGGCACCAATGAAAGTGTTAATTTTAAGTGCCGAATTATCACGTGCTCGGTGAAGGAAAACATCGTGAGGAAACCTTCGAAATAATAACAAAAAAAATATTTTGAAGATATGTGAAGTCTACCAATTCGCAGTGGGTCAGCGTGGTGAGCTATGCCCTGATACCCTCCGTACAGAGGAGGCCTTTGCCCATCAGTGGGACATGTATACTTTTACTTACAAGAAGAATTCAATAAGCAAGAATTTGGCACGACCCCTCACTAGATGGAGTGAGTGCAAATTTGCGGGATCTCGATAGATGCAGGTGGTAGTCTGTGGGGTAGACCCATGTTTAGCAGTGGACTTGAACAGGCTGTAATGATGATGACGATGAAGCAACAAAAATTACATACAATATGGACAAATAAAAAATTAATTACATCATAAATCTAGTCCAAAACACATGGTGTTAATATCATGCATTTGTTAGTTGTTATCAGAGTTTATTTATCAAGTATGGGATTTATTTTACTAAGTTTTACTTAGTTTTGAAACATGCACATTTCCTAAACTAAATAAAACTTGAAAGCTTTTAAAGCAATACTAGCTTAACGTCTATACAAAATTGCTATAGAAAAAATTGGTAATTTTTCATTACTCAAGAGTTTATTTTCAGATAAAGATACCGGTAATGTAAGGTTCGCTTGCAGCGGCTCAATAATTTCTAAAAAGGTTGTCTTGACTGCAGCGCATTGCGCCCTAGCTAAGCCGGAAGGCTACAAATTGTAAGTTAATGATTTAGTATATATTTTATATAATTTACTTTTATGATATGGTACATAATTAATTAACCCAACAGACGTTGTCCTGTACACACGATTTACGCGATATATACGCGACAACTTATAAATAAAATAAAAACAAAAAACCAATTGTGAATCTAAACCATTCTCGAATCGACCTGAAGACACGCAAAAATTTTCATTCAAATCGGTCCAGCCGTTTAGAAGGAGTTCAGTAACATAAATACCTACAGAAGAATTATATATATAAAAGATTAAACATTTGACGTAGTTTTAACTGCCAGTTTTTTTTTTTTTGCGGTTGTCTACTTCACTATCATCTTATCATACAATAAACATTTCATAAAATATACAGAACTAGCGACCAGCCCCGGCTTCGCGCGGATGTAATGTATTATACATATAAACCTTCCTCTTGAATCACTCTATCTAGTAAAAAAAACATAATCAAGATCCGTTGCGTAGTTTTAATGATATAAGCATACATAGGGACAGACAGACAGCGTATCGTTAATATTTGTATCCTTAATATTTTTGGTAGATAGTATTAGTGTAGAAATCATATAACTTACTTGAAGCTTCATTTGGTTGTATGGAAACTTGAATTTAGTAGATGAATAAATGCATTTAGTTCATCGCTAAAGCGTTAAATAGCCGTAGCGTCTCATGTCTTTTACATTTCTAAAGTTATCTTGTTTCCTGCTTAGGTCCACCGTGGTGGTAGGAGAGTGGGACACGAGCCGGAGTCCGGACTGCAACGACTTCTTCTGCGCTCCAGTAACGCAGGCCATCAAAGTCGAAACGGTGGTCGTGCATCCCGGCTACGAACAGAAGATATTCAGACACGACATCGCCCTTATTGTTCTAAAGGACGACATCAAGTATTCTGGTGAGTCTGTCCAAATGATATCTAGAAATAGTTCATTAATTGCGTTGGTCAAAAGGTGATGTTAGTCCTGATAAATATGACCTCAGAGCGAAAATTAAAAAAAACAATAAGATCCTTAACACGTTTTATTTAACAACTAGCTGCTGCCCGCGACTACGTCTGCGTAGAATAGGCTGAAGGCGTAACATCCAGAGAGAAAGACAGATATACATAATATATAGGTATAAATTATAGCCTAAGTCTTAGTCTGTTGTATAAGCTATATTATTGGAAAGTTTCATTAAAATCCATTCAGCAGTATTTGCATGAAACAGTAACAAAGATCCATCCATATATACAAACTTTCGGGTTTATAATATTAGTAAGGATATGATGCATAATTTCAAGAAATCATTGGACTGGTAAAAGATGAATTAAACTAGTAAGTATCGGTAACTTTGAATGCTATTAAAATACAACGCTTCTGAATTCCACGATTATAGGAACGCAATTGTTCTAACATTTTATGTTACGGTTAAATCATAAACACGTTATTAGGATTTCAATCAAGGTAAATGTTGTTCATTTTAATTTGTCTGCATTGCAAATTAAATTGACCTTGAATGCACATCAAAGTCTCATGGAAAAACAAGGCCAAGTCTGTTGAATGAATACGCTACTTTAATTGGAAACTGGTTACCAGTGGGGGTTAAAAGATTTATTAAATAGATATTTGCTGCTGAGTATAAATTTACCAATAAACTAATATTCTATTCGATATACATCTTAAACTTATGTTATTACATTATTATATCTTGAATCTTTACTTATATTCTGCATTGAAGTTCAGTAATTTTGATTTTCTATCTACGGTTTATAATAGCAGTCGCACACTGACCAGTTATTTATTAATAAAATATAATTTAATAAAGGCATATAGGTATTGTCATTATTAAAAATTAAAACTTCATGAAGCTTTGAGCTGCTCGTTCACAATAGACGACCTTAACGTCAGTATTACCATTATTGAATCAGTATAATCGCATACCCGCTAATAATATGTCATTCTTTCAGTGACAGCCGCACCGCTGTGCCTCAACGAAAAGCCGGAAGTAGTGATCAACGAACGCGCCATGCTTGTCGGATGGGGAAAATTGTCCGGACAGAGTAACATGGTAACTTTACGTACTTAAATAAAGTCTCGCGTTTGTTAGACTACCATGGCAGCCCCTATCACCTAAACTTTACTATTGCCCGGTTTCTATATTCAACGAACGACCGTTAGTTACATAGCTTCATAACTTTCAAAACGACCTGTAGATTAAAGGAACGCTATCAACTCACTTTCCGTAGGTAATGCAACTGCTCGTAAAGAAAACGCATCATTTTATTAATATAGGAACCAGACTTACACGCCTTTTATCTACAAGTCGTTATGAAAGTTACGAAGCTATGTAACTAACGGCCATTTGTAATATTTAGGAACCGGGCATATGTCAGTCATAGTAAATTACTGATTATTGGCGTGAAGCAATTTTCTGATTAAATCCGCGATCATAACTTTTACGGTATCGTTTACGTAAACGCTCAGGTCGGCAAGCAACAACTGCTGGACGTGCCGCTTGTTCCTTTGGAGACGTGCGAGCGTATATTCGGCGAGTCAGTGCCGGTGCACGAAGGCCAGCTGTGTGCCGGCGGCGAGGAGGGGAGGGATGCATGCTCCGGCTTCGGCGGCGCGCCGCTGCTGCTCAACAGAGGTGGCCAGTACATCCAGGTGGGCGAAACCGAAATAGGGTCGTGGTCTTGTTGTGGCATGTTTTTTTTAAAACATTGCCCTTACTTTAGGATAACATTATCCTGTGTTGTAAGGTTTTACAAACATAAATTTCACGCGGACAAACACCCAGATACGGAACAACCATCTGTCGGTCACAGAAATAGTTGTCCCGTGTGGGAATCAAACCCACGAGCCCCGACGCCGAATCGAGTACCTCGGCAACGGCCCCACGGAATCATCGCGGTGAACGACAAGTTCCAGAGTGGCCACCACAAACTGGAGCGCATAGTGCTGGAAGGCTTCCCATTAGGTGGAAGTAACATCATAAGAGTCGTAGGCGACTATCTGATCATCATCGTCATCCCTCCTGCCCTTATGAGGTGCTTGTTTTATCACCTAGATGAGGTCGGCAAATCATGTGAATCAGGTTGTATGTGGTTTTGGCTAGGTTTTACGATCTGCCTGACGTCAACCCGCCTTGAGAACAACATCAAGATCCGGCACAATTATCCGTGGGTCACGCAATTACCAGTCTCGTGTAGGAATCAAACCCACGGCGCCTGAGCCAATAGTGTGTGGCTACGCTTGTATTACTGACTGCTGTTTATAGTATACTGAAAAAATTATCAGTCCGAACTTATACTTCCCCGAACAAGCCAGCCCGTTCGTGCAACGGTGAAAAAAATCTTCAGTGTCTTTCCGTGTTCCATCTTCTTTATTGAAGCTTTTATACGTTCTTCATCTTTTCTATTGCAGCTTTTATAGTTTTTTATCGAAACTAATATTATTATTTTCTATAGATTGGCATCGTGTCTTTTGGCTCGGAGAATTGCGGCAGCGAGGGAGTTCCCAGCGTTTACACAAACATCGCTCACTATTATCGTTGGATCGTAGAAAATTCTCCATTGTGAATAAGCAGCAATGGTGATGTTTCGCTTTATATCGGTTAAGAGCCTGTTAATGAATAATAAATCCACTAAGTACAAACCAATGAAGATTTTCTGGTTACTTTGCGTTATAATATCAGACTAGCTCACGCCCGCAACCTTACTCCCTTGACTCGCACCGAAATTAAAATGAAAATTTAAATGTAATTTATTACTAGTTAATGCTCTGTTTACATACATACCTTTTGAAATCCTACTTAAAAAAACATGTAGAAAAGGTGCGAAAAGACGCAATGTAAAATAAGTGCAGAGAGTACACGAAAAAATCTTTAAAATAAAAAAAGCAATTTTTGTTTTGTAAAACGAAAAATTCAAAGGATCTATTTCAAATGCTAAATAACAATGAGTCATTCAATCTATTGAGTCATTTCAAAGCCTATTCTGAACACAGCGAAAATGCTAAAAGTGATAGTTTGTAGTCATAAACATAATTTGCCTTTATATAATTAGCTTTCACTTTAATCAATCCTGTTATTTTCGTGGACTTGAAATTTTTCATTTATATAGATAAAAAGGAAAAGCAGTTTAAATAATAAACACGGTCCATATTTAACATCGCATCATGTATGAGGTAATATCATTTCCGAGTTAAGAAAACACTAAAAGAAAGTGTTACAATTTTTAATGTATATTTTAGGCGGAGTCAAAAAATAAATATTTCCATGCTTGTTTATTATAGTAGTTAGCACAGGGCTGGGCTTCCTTCAACAGTGAACATAATGTTCCCTTCAAATCTACCAAGGCGGAGTCCTGTATTTGCTGGTCAAAAACCTGCGAAGGAAAAATGTTTGTAATTTAAAGCAGCTCAGCATATTAATTAGATCATTTATGATTTTGTAGGCAACATATCAAAGAATTGTGATAAGAGACTATGGTTTCATTTTGTAGGTATGGTAACTTTTCTACAATCTTAATGAAGAAAATTGTTGTTAAAAGCTCTCCGAGTATTTGTTTGAATTTCGTCTGGTAAATTCAGTATTTTTAAATTGCAAGTTCTATATTGCAATAACAGAGTAGAATAATTTTTCACTTATTTGCCTTCTTCGATATTATTAAAAATGGGTGATATAAATAAAGTGAGGGCAAAATAATTTTACACTCCGGTCTCCACAATTCCGAAATCTTGAGAATAAATCAAAGGGTGTAAAAGTTTATTAGCATAATCATATGTATTATTCTCGACCTACAGATTTAACGGACTGAAAATAAATTCTAAAGCAGCCTGGTTGCCGTAGCATACTGTTTAGAGGATATTAATACTTGCGGGCGAAACAGTAAGTGAAATAAAAACGATAGTGTTTGAAAATGGACGAGATAGATGTTATTTGAAAATGGAAGTCAGTATTACCCCGTTGATGGTTATCGACGGTATGAACTGGGGTTTCAGGGAGCTCGTGTGATATTCGGAGTCGAGTTGCAACACGATCCCTTCGCCGGACATAACGCAATGCTCCACTGCGTCACGCGCAACGCCCGCGTGTTTAACGCACTGCCAAAAAAAATGTTTATTATTTTTTTAATTCAATTTGAAATATTAAATTACGATTTAAGAGCTATGAATGTTAAATTATTATAAATTTTCTCTACTCCCAGAGTTGACTGGAAGAGAAAGCCTTTTAGCATTAAGTTTGCCTTTTGTTTATCCTTAGGTTGAGGTGGAAACAATAAATTAAAAAAGAAAAAGTTGATGAGACTGAAGGAAATAAAATTGTGTTCACGTATGGAAAATACGTGAACACAATTTTATTTCCTTCTAGAATATTTGCTAATGGTAAGGAAGTAAACATTTATTTACTACAAAAAGTAAACCATATATGTATTGGGATAACAGGGTGATATGAAGATTTAGATACTATTTATTTATTTATGAATATGGTTTGGTAACAATTCAGTCATTAATTTCATAATGAAATTGACTTTATTTTTTTATAATGAAAAAGCCGACTATGTCAATTCCGTAGCAGTGTACGGCCAACAAATAAATTAATAAAGAAATACATTTTCTTTTTATAGGTAGATCCCTAATATTATAAGCGTCATTTTTAATCATGTATTTCTTAACCTCCAGACATTTCATAGTCACCCTCATCCTCACTTTCATCCAATAAATCATTTAAGTTAATGATATTAATTCGTTTTGATATTGTGCCTAGTCTTGTCTCTTTTCCTCGTATTAAATTCCTCTCCATTTATTAAATTTACTGGACTTTTTTTGACTAAACATATAGTATCACTGAGCAACAAAAATTATAACTGAATAATAAACAATAAGAACTGGCGGTATCATTATGTATCAAAACCCCACTTAAAATCAATCCTAGTTAACGTTTCAACTGTTTTACTATCGCGGTTCAAGAGATACAGCCTGGTGACAGACGTACAGACAGACAGACAGACGAGTCTTACTTAGTAATCGGGTCCCGTTTTACCGTTTGGGTACGGAACCCTAAAAATGAACAATACGAGTGCGATGCATTTAGTAATTAGCGCTAACTGCTTTACTTCGGTTGCAGTCATCTATGGGCATTCATGTCTCCAAGCTGACTCATCTATATTACACTTACATTAAATAAGAATCTATATTACACTTACATTAAATAAGAATCTATATTATACTTACATTAAATATATTAATCGGACATCTCAATTACAACACCATGAATTTCTACTTACGCCGAGATTGCCTTGCGTGCCAGCTTCAGAAGACATCTCGCAGACGGCGTACGCCACACGCTGTTGGTCGCTGTGTTTTCGCATGTACTTAAGCGCGCAATCCTGCACCAGGTTGCCAAGGCATTCCTGTGGGCCGTGCTGGCATTCGAACCCTTCGTCGCCGTAATCCATACTCTGCAATAAAAACATATAAGAGCCACTAATTCAGTTTTTTTTCTATTCGATTATTTTATATTATTATTTTATTCGGCTGCGGTACCGGGGCGGCACGTTAGTGCACTGCACTGGACGATTGTCTTTTTTATAAAGAGAACCCATAAAGAAAGGAAGAAGAAGAATATAAAATTCGCAGGGCAGCAGCGATGCGGCGATGGTCCCGCAGTAATACGACAACAGGTCGGGTCTGTTTCGAATGCCAAGTGTTGTGTCGAAATGGACACAACACCTTATAAATTAACAATACGGGTGTATTACCACTGACTGTGGTAGAGCGCCGCAGTGTCTGATGTTGCACGAACAGGCAAACTTTAGGGGAATGTAACATAGCCTTACAAAAGACCGGTATCACCGGAAGAAACGCTTTAATTTAATACTTCCAGTATTATATTTTTGCGTTTCTTCATAATCTGGACACGTTCTTTTAAAGGTGGGCAAGACAAATGCAAATCCACGGGCGTTGTAGATGTTCTTTAATCGCTTACCAACAATCATTGGAAGCAAAATCTGTTATTAATATAATAATTTGCTAGTAGTCATGTGTCATAGTCCTAAACGAGGGTGAGGATCCTTGTACGTGTCTTACCTTGGATTTGCCAAACGGTATCAAGCGTAGCCTCACATATTTGTGCAGCAAATCTATCGCCGGTTGCAGTTGCTCCAGTATGAATTTTTGGCTGTCCGGGCATTTGCTTTCATAGTAAACGGTTAGATGAAGCTAGAATTAAATAATATGCATATATTAGATAGGTTAAAATGTAAAGTACCATGGCCTCGCAGAAGACCAGTGTGAAAGGGAAGTATTCAAGTTTCGCGTTTAGTCTGGTGAGTGAGGTAGCTGGGGCCCACATTTTTAAAGCTAGTGAACGCATCAGCACGCCATCGTGTATTGTAGATGTCCATAGGCGGCGGTATTTATCAGCCGAACCGCCTTCTCGCCTGACAACTTTTCACGTAAAAAAAGTTATTCCAAAAAACATAATGTGATATTTTTTCTTAATACTTAAACATACTAAATATGTAATAATAAAGTAAGTTGTATAAAATAAATCTTATTAAGTTTATATTTTTATTTAAATAAATCTCTTAAATATACAAAGTTCGTAGTTTAGGCGTCATGAAAAACTTTAAAATGTTATAATTATAAGAAAAGCATTCGGTAGATGCTGTTTTTTTAATTATCTATTAGAACAATATTTACTACTAGAGTACCAGCCGTAACTGTAACATATAAAATACATAAAATATTTTTTCGACGGGGTGAAAAACTTTCATTATGTGTTTATTAGACTGGTGTCTGGCAATTCTGTGAAGATATCTAAAATAGGTACAATAAAATTACAGGCATCAGTTACTGTTTTATACTCGTATAGCTTCATGTGCCACAGGTGGTAAGGTTCCACATTCAAAGCCACTACGTCATGACAACTTTCGCTGCTCCACAAACAAGTTCGGTGCGGCCTCGCCCGCGGGTAGTCTGGCAAGTATTTATTGCTCTAAATAAAATGATAATGCGCGCTGTCATTTTGTATAGGTATTTGCACTTATACACATATGTGATCTTAATTGAATGTAATGCATGTAGGTCAGGGAATATCGTGACTGCTATCGCGACGTTTTATTTCCAGACTAGAAGGTAATGCTATTGTGCTGTAAGAATGAGTTTAAATAAAACTCTCTATTGGTATATTGATATTTCTTATTGGTTATAAAAAATGCTTCACTTGCCTTTGGATTGTTATTAATATGTTTAATACAAAGCTTTGCTTTTTGTGGCTCTAGATTCGAACTATAGTTTCCCGATACGGAGAATCAAAGAATTAATGTGGTCTCATCAAACAGTGATTAAAAAACTAATTATTAATAAAGGTAATACGTAATTACTTAGCGTTTTAATAAGTAATGATATGACAAATTGACATTCTATTATCGATGTGAAGAAAAAAGTCAATTATAATTAAAATAAAAACGACCATTAAATAATCGTTTTTATTTTATTAAATTGGAAATGAGTCAGGAAACTTTTATTAGTTCATTAAAGTAGTTTTAAAGGCCCTCCATTTTAATAATAATTCCCATTATATTTTAAAAGTGCTTTTGCAACAATGAAAAATTATTATTGGAAATAGATTATAGAATACCACAAGCGCAGTCAACAAATTTTTCTGCTTTCCAAAAAATTTGATTATAAAATTATAAGCACTATCAAAAAAGCATAAACTAATATTAAGTGAAACAAAAAAAAAATACCGACTGTATTAAAGATTCCTCTCCCACAGCGATAACTGAGATGGATCTCATGTGTTAAGAGGTTTAGGCGGTAGAGCTTGCCTGAATTATGTACACTATTTTAAATACTAATGCTTAATTCGAAAAACATTAAATTCATATGGATGTTGGGTATGTACTCAAGTATCGGACGTCCGGAATCTGTTGGGGCTACGACAAACATTAAAAAAAATACGGTCGAATTGAGAACCTCTTATTTTTTTGATGTCTGTTGAATTAGTTCCATTTCACAATGGTTTTCTGCGAGGCCGTGTTACCTTCCCGGACGAGCCTGCCATTCGTGCAAATAGGCAGTGTTATTGTCAATCAACAACCTTTATCTAGGTGTACCTATATAATTCACCGACAAGGACGAGGTGAGAAAGTCACTACCTATAGGATGAATTATTTATTATTGTCTGCGTCGGGCACAGTGATTAGTGAAATATTCATGCGTGTCATATACGGCTGTGGCATTATGTATTGTTATGCGGAGGCCGTTTGCGTGGCGTCAACGAAGCTTTGTGTTTTTCAATATTTTTATCTTTTTGTTCTTTTAATCTGTCACTATTTAAATGTAGAACAACAACCTTGAGCACAGGACAGTCAGGGTAGTTGAAAAATGTATATAAGACAAATCAATATTCATAATTTACTTACTCTTAACTCAATATTTATAATATTTTTTTTAATTATAAACTGTGATATTTGCAAGAACTGAATTTCGATAATTTAGATTTCAAAATTTATTTTTTTTAAGAGTGAAATATGCAAAAATTTAAAATACAACAATTCAAGCAAGTTTTATAATCAAGTATTTGTAGAAATTTTAACAAAAGATAAAAATAGAACCCACAGGAAGCAATTGAAACTATGATCATTTGTGTCGCTTAAATTGAAATTATTTAAGTTTACATCTCTATTTATTTAGGTTTACATCTCTATTGCTAATTTTATTATTAGTACCTGGAGGACCGGTTTTTTTTCTGGTAAATCATGTATTTTGGAAATAAAAAAATAAAGAAAGCATCTCTAAAGTTTATTTAAATGGTTACGAACACCTCTATTTTTGGGGCTAATTTTACCGACCGAGCTTTATTAACTTTTTTTTGCGACGAAATTTTTTTATATTCGAATGATATGTTTCATTCCCTGAAAATATATATAAGGATATTTTCTAAAAATGAAACCCAGCTATATATTATTATACCCGAATATACACACATACAAAATTGCGTTTCGTTCCGATTAAAATATATACAGATTAAAGAAGATTAAAGAAGGAATAGAGGTTTTATTTTAAATTATTATTATCATTATTTGCAAACCGATTAAGGAACACCACGGTTCTAGCCGCACATTTTAAGGAATTGGTAGTTTTGTTGAATAAATATATATGATAGGATTTCTTTTTCGATAATACTGTTGCAATGACATAAGGACCTGTTTATTTTATTTGACACTCTTTTTAATTTGTTTTCTCCCTTATATCTAGTTGTCATTACTTGTGTTCATTAACATTTTTTCTCATGGTTAAATACAGCGGTGGGTAAGGGTATTGTTAGCGGAGTTTTAGATCTTGGGTTCAATTCCAAGTAGAATTTCCTTTTTGCATTTCCTCTTTGTGGTAAAATCAGAATGTTACAATTCATATTTATAACAATCTTTTAAATTGTGAAAAAATTGGAATAAGTCTTGAATATACGACGTCTATAAACATATTTAAATTATTTATATAATGTATTTAAGTAGAAAAAATAAGCTAATGTTGATGAGACTGTTATAAAATATTCATTTAAATTAATATTCACACTTACCTTTTGTGGAACATATCCATTGACGAGTTGCGTTAAGGACCACAGGAATATGAGAAATAATTTCAATTTCGTAAACACCATTTCCACAAGATTAATTTTATAATCTTAATTTATTAAATATATTTAATACCGAGACGTTAGTTTGAACATTATAATTACAAAGCAACGTTTGGAGGCGTTGTGTACGATTCGAAAACTATTCAGTTGTGTCAATATGGGATGTTTTGCGAGTGGTGCGTGTCGTAGTTTACGCTAATACTCCGGCTTCACTTCTATCACCTGCGTTCAATGTCTCACGTGGACGTTAAGGTTACCATTCTAGTGTTTGCAAAAAAGTGAATTGTTGATGTTTTAGCGATATAATCAATTGATATATTTTTTAAAAGACGATTTAATTAAACCCGAGGGATATATATTATGACTAATATATCCATAATAATAATATATCAAATTAAATAATACAGAGATAATGTTATCATACATTTTTACAGTATTAGATAGGTTGTGAATTTTAATTTACTTTATATTCAGTTTTAGGGATATAACTCTTTAAATTATATTTATATTAAAACTTATTGTAAAAAAGTATTACTTATTAAAGCATTAACAAGCAATAATAGCTGCATCACAAACGAATTAATCAGAAATTTTTCTGGTTTTAACCTATTTAGGAATCGTATTTTCATAAGATATTGGCAATGATGTTTAATAATAAAGATGACGCATTTCCATACGGCGTTTAGAAATTGTTCCACTTAACCTTATACGACATATAACACAAGCAAATGTGAGAGATGTGTATGATACGGAAAGAGATAGTAGTCTATAGAGTTGCAATCAAATTACACCAACTAGCGTCATTTCAATGTCTCAATTTCGTTGCGCTAGTGTCATATCTACCACATATTAACCCTCATAAAATATATATTGGTGTATCAATACCTTTGTGTTTTATTGAATACACAATTTAGGTACAGTTATTATGTGGCATATGTTTTAAATAAACAATATTTGGAAAAAAAAATACCATTATTTATTCAAAAGATACTTACCAGCTAAACAATACAGGAAATATGAGTGTACAATATATAAATCAGGCCTAAACAAAGTATTATCGTCCAGTATGGCTGTATCAGGTATATCGCGTAGAATAGAATTAATAAAACGATCAAGAAGTAGATTATTTCCATTTAACCATGGTAAACATTTTGGTTTAATATCGTACTTTTTACATCGTTAAATAATTTCACGAAAAAATTGAACATTGTCATTTATAGAAAACATGTCAGAATGAAAATGACAATTTAGCTGAAAAAAAAAATTACGCAATTGTAAATAGTTTTGGCTCTATGGATGTTTATTTTCTTAAAGAAATAAAAATATGTACAGTATCGAACGGCTGCAGCACGCTTTGTAAATATTTTTTCTCCAATCGTTATCAAATAATTATATATATGTAGCTGGTTTGATTGTTTATTAATTGGATTTTGAACGTAAAATAGTGTTTTCTATATTACTTTTGACTTATTGCTTTTATTTTGACTTATTCATTATAAATAATAATTTTATACAAATATAACTTAATGTTTATTATATAAGGCATGCTTAAGCATGTTGGCGAGAAAACAACATTTTATTTATTTTTAGAGTTACTTAATAAGCGTTTATTCTTTTCTACACATTGCTCAAAAATGGAGCATAAAGGTTTTTTGGAACCAATTTGTGCATTTTCAGTTGCATAGCTTCTCTTTATGCAAGAATCTTCATAATGTATGTTTGTTTTTAACTTGCCAATAGCACGTTGATACGCCGACTTCACTTCTTCTTCATATTTCTCTAAATTATTGCCTTTTCGTGGTTGAAAAAATCCGAAGTTATCTTTGCATTCTGTCCTAAATGATCTGAAAGTTATAAGATAGTACCAATTTCATTAACTTCTAGTGTAGTAAGGCGTAGTTAGTGCCAAAAGACGGAGTGAACTAAATTTAGACCAATTTTGAGCATAAAATAGTTGGGCCACTTAAAAAGTTTTACGGAGCTAACTTCTATTGCCATAGTTTTATTGTTAAAAAAAATCTCCATCCATGTTTAAATTTTCAGTTTTACAAAGTATGTAGTATTTTTGGTAATAAAAACAAAACCGACTTCGAATGTATCACTCACTATACAATTTTTGGGGGAAGGTTTAATGACAATTAAATTTATATACGACCTTAACAAAAAAAAAAGGATTTTGGAATCATTTTAGAAATGACGAAGTTCTGACGTACGGTACAAATTAGGGATGATAACTTATAAGTACCCGGAGGACCGAGCTTTGCTCGGTTTGTTTTTTTTTGGTAAATCGTGTATTTTGGAAATTACATTTAGATACAAATTACCGAGTAATGAAATATGCATAAAATTTTTCGATCTTACTGACGTAATAATAAGAAAATATGAACGGATGTTTTTCACAAAAGAAAGAACTTTAAAAAAAAGGGAAAAAAATTACAAAATAACAAATCGACGAAAAATTAAAAATAAAGAAAGCAATGATCTGGAATCGAAAAAAAAGTAAAAAAATAAATGTTAAATGATCGTGACGCGAACCACGGTCGTCTGTTTTGGGGCCGCCCGATTACCGACCGAGCTATTATGACATTTTCTCTTGCGGCGAAATTTACTGTCATATTCGAATTATATTTTTCATTCCCTGAAAACAGAGATAAAAGGACATTTTCTAAAAATGAAACCTAGATCTATTTTTCGCCCCCGAATCTATGCACATACTAAATTTCATGAAAATCGCTGGAGCCGTTTCCGAGATTCCGATTATATATATATATATATATATATATATCTCCTATAGAAACACCTATTTTCGCTAAAAGTTTTTGCATGGCCTGGTATAACTGAATTATTACTGTAATTATTATCAATTACGTGAATAATAAAAATTATTAAAAATATTTCATTACCCCGGCAGCCATTGTAGCTTATTGTGGGCTCGTATTTCTCTGAAATCTAGTTTAAACTTTTCTCTATCACACTTTGACTTGGGGCCTCTTACTCGCAGGAAGAATTCGTCGTGTTTTGGTTTTGTTGACCATACCTTGGAAGCACAATAAATAAAAAGAACCTACGCAAGTCATGTAATTTGTGAATAATTAATTTATATTTAAGTTTTTATTAACAGTGAGATAATTAACATGATATAGCTTTTATATCAATACGTAAACATTGAAATCTTTGAAAAACCACATGTAAAGAAATCTCCAGTCAATCAAAATCTTTTGGTGTAGGTATTTAAGGAAAGCGAAAGATTAGGCCCGCATGATGCTTTATTCTGACATATATTTTTTAAGAGATAATAAAACATTGCCCTTACTTTAGGATAACATTATCCTGTGTTGTAAGGACGTTTTACATACATAAATTTCACGTGGACAAACATCCAGATGCGAAACAACTATGAAACAACTGTGTGGGAATCGAACCCACCCCCGACACCGAAGCCAATACCTTGGTGACAGTGCCACGGAGTCATCGAATATTATATGTATATATTTATATATAAATGTTTATAATCCATTTCAATTACTAATTTCGTTTTAATTTGTTACCTTACAGTCTGTAGTAAGGACAAACACTCAAAACTATGGATTTATAATATAACTGGGATAAAATAGATTGCACGACAATACAGTCTATAATTACCCATGGAACGTCTGCTAATGTGTAATAAGTAACGACGTCCCTCGAGTTGGAAATCTTTTTCAGTTGATCTGCGGTGTAGGGTCGATGATGCAGCCTGCTTGTAGTGAGGTAAGGGTCTAAATATTTTTCGTAACCGTCGTGGGTTGTATCTATCGGTTCCAGCTCTTTATGCCGACATAGTTCCATTACACCCTATAAAGGACATAAGCAATTAAGCATAATGTAATATTTATAAGTGGGAAGTTGCTGTAAGCAGAGGGTTCAGATCAGATTTGATGTTCAGTGATTACCGCTGCTTAAGAGCCAGTCCCGTTATGTCCAAAATCAGTAGAGAGATAAAAAGTATAATACTTCCACTTCAGGCCGGTCCTCAACTGCAAAAGCTGCTGTGTTGCCCTGCTACAGTAAAATTGTAACCATTTTTCTATTTCAAAGTTTTTTATAGTGCTAATCTCTGCACTTAAGATTGAACATTAAAACATGTAGAAAAAGTACGAAAAGATTGTCGCCGCTGTGGGAATCGAACCTACGTCTTCGGCATTCGCGGCCTGACGCTCTAGCCACTGAGCTAAACGGCTGATAGCCACAGCGACGAAAATCTTAACGCCTTCTTTCTACATTGTTATTTAGCATTTGAAGCAATGCTTGGCGCATCTATTGTTATATCCTTTCCAGCATACAAACAATTTCGAATATCGTTTTACAACGATAATTCGAACGAGAGATGTTGCCATTGCTTTTATAAATGCTAAAATATAAAAGCTTCAAATCGACGAAAATCTTAACGCCTTCTTTCTACATTGTTATTTAGCATTTGAAGCTTTTATATTACTTTTACAAAGTTAAAGTTTTTTATAAATAACATGGTTTATAAGTACCTATCTACTTTAATTTAAAAGTAGGTACTTATAAACCATTCATAAGAAATGTCTCATTTATGATACGGAACATACCGAATTACTTTGCAGGCTTGCTGGGTGTTTAAACTGGTCTTTATCAATCACCAGGCGACTCGCACTTATTGGAGTCGTGTAAGACTCTTTCATTTCCGTAGTTCCATGGGCCTTAAACGCTGGCGGCCGATATTCGACCTGTATATAAATAAATTTGATAAGATCAAAGTTCAAACTTAAAACGATAGACAGCTGTAAACCATACTTTGAAGAACTTAAAGTATGAATTTCCCCGTTTCCACGGGGAAATGTGTAAAACGCACAAGAGAACAAAATTTTTTTGATAATAGATGGCGTATGTACATTTTCTGCGCGGCGTTGAAAAATTGTTCCAATTTACATTACATGTCATATAAAAGTGAATGTGACAAATAATATCGAACGTGAGATACGAAAAGAGATAGCAGTCTATAGAGTTACTATGTAACT